TGACAGACGCCGCCCGACAGTTCAATCTACTTTACGTCATTCACTGCGGATGCTTTCTCCTCGGTCAAAATTCAAGCGTCGAATTTCCATCGAGCGGCCAGGCCCTTAAAATTCGAACGCGTCGAAGACATATGGCTGATGAATTTTTCAGAGATTTCGCTGAAAGTCGAACGCGACTCGATGAGAACAAAAATTCGTTCGTGAATGCGGCACGTGATTTTCATGAAATTTGATCTACACCTACCATCGGCGACGCTAATGACATGCATGGTAGAACGCAGTCGCGAGAAAAAAGCACTAGAGGCAGCAGAAACGCGTATAAACATTTGCAGCGTGTATTGCAGCACATATTATAATATGCATCATAACTCTTTTTCTTGAGCGTCGTGTAAATTTTCCGCTATCTTAATGTGCATGCATAGTAAAACGTATGCGGGACATGGAACGTCTGTCGTGCATCGATCTGTAAGGTGTTGATGTATAACTCGAGAAGACTTCAATTTCGTCGGTTTCTGACGAGAATGAATTTAAGAATTTTTTTTTGTTAAACCGTGTTTAATTGCGCTCCTGCTAATTACATTTTGTTGTGCATTTGATAATTAACATAGTAAATAAAAATATTTTTTAAGTAATTAATTTACAAAGATTGTTAGAACGCCTAATATACGATAAAAATTTTTCACAGTTTCAAAATTTCCTCTGCAATTGACTAATCTACGTGTATACCTTACGAATAGTTCTTAATTTCCTATTAATTCTGTAAACGTACTATACTTTTTAATTTGCTTTAATTTCGTACATTATTACCGCCAGTAATGCTAGTTGCACCATCAATCGCAGACCATTCTGTATGCTTGCACACGTGGAAAAAGGAATACGCGAGCGTGTTGCGCGAACATATAGAAAAGTTGTGCGAGCCTCTTGATGCCAACGCTACTTATCCAGGCAGAAGTACGGCCGCAACCCCTCTAAATCTCCCCTAACCGCCAGTAGAACTACGTACGTTCTATCTTTCTTCCTCTTCCTCTTCCTCTTCCGCTTTCTAGCTGCCTTTTTTTTCGCGTATTCCTTCGACCTGCTTGTTACCGCGGTCCTTTATCTTTCGCACAATGGCCCTTGCTCTTTTTTCCTGACTGCGCGCGGCCTTGAGCAATGAACTTGAAAGGCCGCTGATCGATCCGGGGGAACGACGAAATAAAAAATCCGCGATCGTGAATTAAGAGGAACAAGGAACTTTGTTCCATTGGAAGGGGCCAACGGAGATTCGACCAACTGGTCGCCTCGTTTAACTGAAACTCGGGCGACCGTTCGATCGAGCTGTAACTTACTGCCGCTAATTGGCAGACGGATAATTCGTGTTTGAACGAAAGTTATGCGTTTGGGGACTACCTCGCGCGGAAAAAAGGATTTTCTCAACGGGAGTTCTTTTTTAATTATTTCGAACATCGTCTGTTTAACTGCAGTAAATACCTTGGAGCAAAAGTATAATTATAAAATTATAATTGCAATAATACCTTGGAGATTTACGAATTAAAATATATATATGAAGTTGGCATAATCCCATATTTTCGTAAAGAGCGTGCTCGGAATTCGAACGTGAACAGTCAGATTCAGTGTATTTAAAATGAAATCTCGCGAATGGAATTGTTACAGATTGTTCGCGTCGTCTGCGACGATATTACCAGTTTAATAATAGCTCGGTCTCGGAGTAACAATCCGCGCCGTGACACGTTCATTTTCCGCTTTTGCCGCGGACAGATGATACGAGGTTGTCGGGATACGAGGCTGTTCTGAAGTGGCTAACAAACGGCGGTGCACGACGATCGGTCATATCCCTTGAGACTTTTATCCATAGAACACGATGCACACGTTGCATTATTAAAGCACGGCTGTGTAACTCCATTCACAGCCGCCTGGCACGCTTTACCATGTTTCTTGTTTGCCGCTTTGAAGAGATTTCGTAAAATGAACGACCCCTGCCGCTCAGACGCTTGATTTTTTATGCAAAGAGTTTGAAAGAAAGAGGTGACGATCCTTGCAGCATGTTAAAACAGTTTCGATCAATGATTCTACTTGATAATGCAATATAAATTGAATTACGCGACTTGTATTTTATATATTTCCTTTCCTTTTCTTTCCTTTTTTGTGAGTGTGCGATCTTTCTCGCCTTAATTCTTCTGAAAAACTGATACAAAAGTGAAAAGAAAAATATTATCTAACCCCTCTTGTCTTACGATTTTCTTTTCAATCTTTTTGAGCAAAAAAATTATTTACTGTAACTGTGACATTAATTTCAGATATCAAAGTTTTATTTACTAACATATTTTAAGAAAATAAGTTTGAAATTCGAAATTTGTTTTTCCTATCAAATCTAAACACGAGTGCGACTCGACATTATAAGGTGTAAAACAAGGGGGGTTAAAGTATAAGAATGGAGAAATTTTTGAAAATACATCGCGTTGGAAAATCATAATCTTTTGTTTTAATCTCGTTGCAATCACGTAATTCAGATCGAGCGGAAAATAAATTTGAAATCTGAAGAATTCGGTATAAGAATTGCGAATTACGATTTTGAATACCACGAGAGCCGAACTTGACATCTTGATCTAGAATGTTGAATGTTCTCGTCTACGACAAGAAGTGATAACAACTCCGGTTGGCTCCACTCAGGTCCTGTGACCCCGAAGACGCGGAAGCCGACTCTCTCTCTACTTTAGGGACACGTGTGTCGAAGCTTCGAAATCTTGGGGTGGTTTGAAGCGCATTCCACGACGGCGAGGAATTCCGATGCCGAAACTCGGGTGCCAATGGTGGGATTCGATACACACAGCTTCACTTGTGTTTCTACCAGCAGAATCTTACTGTCGCGAATTACATATGTACATATATGTTAAGTTAAAGTAGAATTCTATCTTATCGAGTCGTCTCGTTAATTTCAAAGTTCTTAATGAAATTAATTCACATTGATAAAACGTGTACGTTAATAACGTCAGATACATGCAGATATGCAAATTCTCCATTCAACATACCATTACTTCTTTCACGATTCACAGATACATCGGTATCAAATATCGTCGGAACTTCCGACTTGCAATTTTGTGTATTCCGCTTCCTAATCCTCCATTGTTCACCGCTAATAATTCATAAGTAGGTTTTGTCTATGCATCGCAGTATTGGTTATCGGAATTACACGATATCGTCTATACGCAGGAAATATTTGTGAAGGTACCTTGGATCGATCGTTGGCGTCGATGGAAAAAAAAAAAGAAAAAAAAGGAAGAAAGATGGCTCGTCGAACGTTTCGCCCTTCGTTCAACTAATCATTCTCGAAGGGGAACGAAACAAGGAAGAAGGTGAATAGCTTGAAGAGATGTCGAGAAGTTCGTCCCATTTCGAGCAGTAATCGCGGTCGTGCAACTATCAGCGACAATTGTCATTTCAGAAATCGATGAGGGACAGCGGAAATGTATTCCGGGGGACGAAAGGAAAATAATCTCGATTAATTGGCTCGAGATCAATACCAAGAACTGCTTCGGTCGTTGGTTAACAGCGCCAAGTTAAGACGTTGCAGGCTCGATTGAAAATGCTTAATACAGGATTTGTTAAATATATGAAAACTCCGGGCAAGACTTTCGAGCGAAATTTCGCGTGTTTGAAGATCGTTTGAAAAATGATCGATGATTATCAACGGTAAGTTATTTGCTCAGAGCGTGATACTTTTCGTACTACCCAGTACCAACTCTCTTCGTGTTAAAGAGATCTTGGATATTGCTCACGAAATACAAAATCAACTGAATTTAATCAAATGATTATATAAACCACGGCTTCTTTTTTTCTTATCAAACGAGCAAATTAAATTATTCTCTGCGAGTATCGAGCACCATGTTAAAGCAATATCTAGCCAAGCAATCGTACTCTGATTTTACTCTTCGCTCAAAATAATTACGCAATTACGTAGCGAGGTACGAAGAAATAATTTTCGATAACTATTCTCGCATTGCAATTTACCGGCGGAACGAAACTGATTTAAGGGGGTAACACTTCGCGATCGAGGCCGACGTTAATGTGGCTTCCGTGTGCTCGTTCCATTGTAGAACTGTGGTTCTGTGGATCCGTGGAAACTCACCCCTTTCGCAGGGGCGAGTTTACGCGAGGAAAGTTCCTCAAAGTTCCGTCAAGTGCCAGACACAAGACACAATTACGTCTCTGAAGTACGTCTCTCGGTCCCTCGTTGAGAGAAAAATTCGAAATATTCTTGTTGACATCGATTTAAGCCGGGATTAGGGATCTTTCCCAGCGGCGTTCGGATAACATCGACGTTGCTGGAAGATTGTTAAAGCTATGCTCTCGTTCATATGTATTTGTTTCTCCGTATATCGTGCTTTAGAAAAATGCACTCTATCCGAAAGGAATTTGCGTAACAGTTGAGAAAAGAATTTGTAATTTATTTTCGTCGTATAATTTCTTTGGAATCTCACGGAACAGTTCCCTCCCCTGCCAGATGTGACCTAATAAATAAAAGTAGAAATTGAATCCGCGATATTGTTGCAAGCGATATAAATCTTTTGTGCTTACGACTTCGAACGTGAAGGCGTAGGAAGAGAGATACTCGATCCGTGTGCTATTCCTCTTATTACAAATTTTATCGAAGTGTGCGGACTGTTCGTGTAAGCACGCCATAAAATATCGATGCCACGAGTCGGCAATGAAATATAGTACGAAATATAGGCGAAATGAGTTTAGAGAGGGTTAGTAAATGTCAGATGGATTTCAGGACGTATCCAAAGCCACGAAAACCATTTGCAAGTAGGTTTATATCCTTTGACGTTCGCTTTTCCTATGTTGCACGTATGTTGTACATATATACGAGTCGTGAAAGTTCTCTTTCTGCGAAATTATTATGTCGAACGTAACGAGACATCTAATAAAAAGAAATAAGAAAGAGGAACAATAAATCTTTTTGTCTCTTTGTCAAAAGTTTTTTATCGCCTCTGTTGCAGGGTGACAGTGCTGGGCATCCTACTCGGCGTACTCGACTGGGATCACAATGTTACCTGCGTCTTTCTACTGTGGGAATACTTCGTGGGATACCTAGTCATTTTCGTGTTATCTATGATAGTAGAGTTTTCCATTTGCTTTCTGGCTACCAGGGGAAGCATCCTGGACACTGCAGCCAGAGCTCCAATGCAATATATTCTCTATGTTCGACTCTGTGAGTAATTAATCTATCCGTCGTTTGTTACTGCTTCTCTTTCTTCTTTTCTTTTTTTTTTTTTTTTTTATAGATTGGAAAATTTGCAGCGAATAAAATTGAAAGAGAAGCGGTGTTATTTTTAAATGGCGATAATGGCTTTAATCCTGTAGAGAATTTTATCATAGAAGGGGGAAGATTATATAAGTAATAAGAACATGTTTATAGAACTTTCCTTGACTTCTGCGTGCCTACGGTTTTTTATTAGAATTCTTTATAAACACAGAATCGTGTCTTGTCGATTTCAGCGCTGCCGGTTGTCCTTACCACAATTATAGACGATATTTATGGCATCGAAACCTTAACGAGAGGAATCGAAGTTGAAAATAACGTATACGTATCGTCGTGTACGGTAGATCAGCTCGTATCCATTACGTTAGCGAGAGAACGAAAGATTTCCTCGTGGAAATATCGATGAATTCTGTGTTAACATTTGATGTTTTAATGTGGTGTATTTGAAATTGCAAATCGTCAAATTTTAATGTCAGAACTATCGGTCGTTAAGTCGCTGTGTTTAGTACGAAACACCACTAGATCATGGTACCCAAAATTTTGCAGACCGCGAAACGTGAAAACGGAAACCACCAGAACGTGAAATTTGAAATGGAATACGTACACCATTGAAAACGCGATGATCGATATCGAAAATTCCCGAATAATAATAGTTCGCTGTACGAACGTGACGCACGAAACCGAACCGTACGAACTTTAACGTCAAAATTTCGAACTTTCGTCGAAATTTAATTGACAGTTGATCAAATTCTCGCGTGATTGAACACGACCGACAAAATCACTCGTTAGGGGGGTCAAAAGTATTTGTCCTTCTAACGAAGGCATTCTACACTTGTCGCGTTAATCAGAATATCGTCGAGCACGGATTAGAACGGATAACGAAGCCTTTGCACGACGTCAATAGTCACGCGAACGAAATAGTAACCAATCTGAAGATGCGCACCATGGGGTTCGTTAATGGAAGCTTCATCGGTTGCGACGGAGAGCCACTTCCCCCTTGTCGACCCTTCCAATCTTCGCGAGACAAGGGTAGCATATTAATAAGAATCGAGCCTTAACCGTGGATTCCTGATCGTAATAAATGATGGTTCGCGAGAACAGCAAAGCTCTGGTTCGTCAACTTTGTAATTTTCTTTCGGAAATTGGATCGATTAAATTGTTCTTACTTGATACTTTCATCATCCAACGTGAACAATGTACATACGTTAACACGTTGATCGCAAATCGAATGGGTTTGTGGTGCCACGAATCCTTTAAGTATCCTATTGTTTTTATGCTTTTCTTTTCATGTTTTTGTTTTTTTGTCCGTTTTGTTAAGTTTATGACAGGCACGTGCTCTTCGGTATCAGCTTGTCAAATTAAAAGTTTTTACACATTCTTTCGCATCCCTTGAATGTAGGCTAGAAATTTAGAGAATTTGCAGGCTCCTAATGTTTCCCGATATATCACAAATAACTATTATAGTGTTGTATATTTTTATGTAAATTAATTCAAAAATTGACTATATATATCGTTTATTTGACATGAATTTAATTTGTTAATTTAAAAATGATTTACTCATTAGAAACTCGTTTTCCTACTGAATATATCTTCTATTCTCTGTTAAATATTTCCTTTGTTTGTTTATCTACTGTTTATCTACTTCTTGCCTTAAAAATAAGATCGTCATTCGTTTTTCAATAGAAACTTGACTGTCGCCTCAAAGTGTTTAACGATAAAGAACGATATCAAGTTTCCAATTAAATTTAATTAACGGTGTATTGATTTGTTGAAACGAACAACTTTTCGCTTCTGTGTAAAAGGAAAATTAATTCAGGTATTCTTGTTCATTGTCTTCTTACCGGGAGTAAGACTGTTTTAAAAAGTATTCCTTCGCTTCTCGCCTTTCTCGTCTGCATTCTTTTTCTATGCAAAGACCAGCGTGAAATTTTCTGTCTTGCTGGCCATTAAGGAATAGAAAGTCGTCGTCGCGTCGTTCTTTTCTTGTACTTTTCCCTTTGGACCGCCGCTCAACTGGCATCCTAATCGCCCATTATGCTAATGCATCCCTTTATTTTTCAATAGAAATTCCAGTATCGTTTATTTTTACTGTACAATTCATCGGATTTCGCGTAATTTCTTTCAAAGCTTGGGAAGTTCGACGAGTTTGGAAATCAGAAGGAAGAAAAATTTTCGCAAAATACCGATTCCCTCGAAAAGTAACTTTTTCAATTTCGTGCTCGTTTCGGAGAAGATCGCATATTTTCTCAATTCAGAAAAAAATTCAATCGGCCGAAGTCTGGCGCGTATATCGCTGATAAACAATCTGAGCTCAGATAAACGTAAGAAAATCTCGGAGCGATTCGTTACCGAGAAACAGCAAATGAAACGGCGATCCTTTCGAGAGTCGAAATTTATACTTCTTCCAGCCTGAGTGCGAGAGGAAAGTTGAGAGTATCGAGGCGAAAAAAAAAAAAAAAAAAAACACATGGACGCCTGATCCGGAAAACAGCGCGGCAGTCACGCCCAATCCTTAGCATAAACTCGATCCATCTCGTTATCTTCGGTATGCACTCTGTAAAAAATTCACTGGATAAAATCAACTGAAATGTATTTGATATTGCATATGTACGTCTGCCGGAGATGTGTGTACGTCATATCCGAATATTCTCGAAAAATTTTAAATCAATAAAAACTGAACTGTTCGATGCTGTTGGTTATTATATCTACCATCTCTGCTAAATGGATTTTTTCAAGAGTCACTTAGATATTGATTTATCAATACGTCGATTATACGTGGAAAGGGGGGGAAAAAATCGCACGTGGAAGATCTGTTCTGTCGCAGCGTGGACGAAGAAACATCGAACGCGTGCACCGTGTATTAACGGTTTTGGAAATGATCCAACTCGAGTCTGCTGTTTCTTTAGCAGATCCGGTGCACCTTTGGGAAGAATTCGATGGAAATTCCGATCACGTACGGCTGATTGGTCGGATGCGTATAGACTATGCCGAGCTACTGCAGTTGCAACATGCACTCCTTTCGGTCTTTTTCGTTCCATTTGCTTTGGCCTAACTTCGACAGACGCTTTCATTCGAACGGGATTACGAGGAACAAGAGAGAAGTATCTGTCGAACGCGAGCGCGAAGACCGTAATAAAGATGTTAGTTTACATCAGCCGAGAGAAACGTTGAGAGAACTATCGGTATAAAAACCGGGAAACTTCGACGGTGGACAGAACGTAAACTGGAGTCAAAATGTATCCTGAAACTGAAACGAGATAATGGAAATAGAAATTTTACGTTAAACACCCTGACGTTCAGAATTTGATCGTTCCGTTGTGTTTGTTTTAATTTCTCGTCGAGGAGAAAAGCTTCTGTTTGTTTCGTATTCGTGATTCAGGAAAACAAAGTCCAAAAGAAAAAAGGAAAGAACTTTAAACTAACCGAGTAATCTCGTTCTCGCGAAACATAACATTTTTATCTTTATTCAACAGATAGACGGTTTAGTCATCTTCCGATAACTGACTTGGTCAATCGCAGTCAGAAATATTTTTATACGAACCGCGTGCGTCGTATGTGGCCGGTATAACGAATGCTGTTGGAATAAAACTAATTCTGAATCGCTCGAGGAAAATCACCGAGTAAATTTACATTGAATCTGATTCGAAATTTCACGTGCACCTTGATCTCTCTTTGTATAAGTACTACTTTGTATGCATAAGTAGAAATAGAATTTCTCGTTCTGTGATCTTCGTCGTATTATTTGCAAGTTTCTTGTACGAAATAAAGTATCGTACGTTGTTGTTCGATAATTTGAGTTCGAAGCTGCGATGAGAAATGGCGGAGAATAAATATTGTTTACGAGAGTAAAGACGAAAACAAATTTTGAATTTTCACAAGTCGACCGATGTTTGGTCGATAAAAGGTTATTAAATTATAATCACATCTGTTTTCTGTTATTAATCATTATCTGGTCCCTAAATATCTTGGACCTTTGTTTGAGATGCGTTCGATAATTTATCTGAGTTAATGTCATATCCGAAATTGGCTGTAGTTTTACGTTACGTTCGTAAATAATAACGAAATGGAATGAAATGAAACCATCCAGCTTGACGTATGATCACAGAGAATTTAAACATTAAAGAATTGATTCTTTTTTGTTTTTTATTAACTTTGATGAATTTGAAACATTCCTGGAGTATGCATTCGTGTTAGTAACTAATCAGGTCAGACGTATTTGCTATTGCGCGGAAACCATCAAAAGCGACCACATTGCTGAGAAACATGCTATAACTATGTAGGGGAGTTATCCGAAGAAAGCATTGTCCATACTTTCAACCCTTATCCGGCGTAAAGTTACGGCGTTCACGTCGATATGCCTTTCTTTCATCCAAGAAATAGCAGCTATCCGTGGTCAAGAAACAGACATTCACGAGACACCCGATTTCACATGACCCAGATATTTCCTTTGATAGCATCTTACTGATAAAAAAAAAAAAAAAGAAAAATAAGACAAGTATCCATTTAATGTTGAATATTTGTCGTTTAAAAATGTTTAAAAGAAAATAATTTAAAATGAAGTTTAAAATATAATAAAATACAGTTGAAATGTGAAATTGTATCTGTATTTGTGTGTTCTGGCTTTTTGTTCTGCTGTTATTTCCCTTTCGTCGAAATAAGAACAAAGAAGCTCAAAGATTTATGAAACTATTTGTTTCAGTCCTTTTATCGGTCGAGACTGGCTGGTTGTGCGCAGGTGTAACGTGGTTGTCACACTTCTATCAAACCTGCACCATCGGCCAAGTTAAAGATGTAATGTTAGGTAAGTTTCCCCAATCCTTTTAATTCTGTAGCAATTTAACTCCTACAAAAATTAGGAAACAACATTTCGAGAGAGCAACGACGCAGTGTAACTTTTCAAAAGATAAAAGAAAAAAAGAGTCAATTTTGCTAATTCCCAGTTTCGCTGTCGTGTCATTATTCTCCCGAGGCAGCGGCATGACGCAATTTAACTACTCACTTCGTGCAAGTAGCCGTGAAGAAAATTCCATCTGTTCTATTTCGCGTAGATAAGAAAATTCACGGCAAGCAAAATTCCATATTTAATTTAATTTCGTGGATAGAAATAACGAATCTCTCTGCGCTAAGACCGGCGCGGGTCAAATGGTCTGCGAAATATTTCGCCGCGCTATCTTTATAATTGTGTAAATCGAGAAACGCGTAAACGTTTCTGCATCCGCAATCAGAACAAGGACGATTTTAGCTTTCACTTTGGCCGCAGGTTTAGTGGTATCAAATTGGTGCGTATTGGCGTCAGTGATGGTAACAGTGTGGTGTACGTACGACGCTGCGGGTAGGTCGTGGGTGAAAATGAAGAAATACCAACGAAGCATGAGGGAGGCGGAATCGAGATGCGGTAAATTACATTACAATCGAAGTGGTAGCAGAAACAGAAACTGGCGGCAGAGGTAACGACTTACAACTTTTGTTTCGCTTGTCTGACTTATTATCGCTACCTCCACTGATAGTTTTTATTCTTCTGTCACTTGCTACGAGATAGTCAGCGAAATTCTGTCGAATTAGTTTCGTTCGTCTCCCAAAGTTTCTACTGTCTCGTGTATTAAACAATCCAAATAGCACGCAAATAAAGTAGCAAAATAATGTAAATAATATGAAGAAGATTAACGAATGAATTTCATAACTCTGGTGCGGTAATTTCTTGTGAAAATTACAACGAGTAAAATGACAAACATTCGGTACTTTTAGAAAAGTTATACGAGCGTACCAGGACAGTTGGGACAACAGATGCCGGCTTCTGTTCTGCTGCATGGGCAATTCCGATAGGAATCGAGTAAGTATCGTCGGTACGAAATCTTTTGAAGAAATTTATTATGTCGGTGGGTGCAGAAGGTTTGATCGAGAAACACAGCTTGTACGTCACAAAGTGTGTTACGTTATTTTCATTGCTATATACTATTATAGTTCCACTCAATTTATGAAAATAAGACATCGTTTATTATCGGCATTGAAACACAAGTCCTTTACTTAATCCTTTACTTAACTAGGATGAATTAAGCAAGAATAATTAGGACGTGTCCTTGGGTGTTCTCAGTTTGAAATTTTTAATAAAAAAAAGAAAATAAGATGTATCAAACCTGATTCCCTGATTATTTGCCGAAATATCGAACTTGAAAGCGATGACAATGAAGCTTCTGCACCGATCTAATAAAGCCAGTCCGTACAATTTTCAATGAGAATGATTCCTTCCTAGAATTCGTTCGCGGACATCGCCAGATTATTGAGCGATTTCTTCCGAGATCTCGATGTGGTCCCATCGGACGTGGTCGCCGGTCTGGTACTATTGAGAAAGTTCCAGAAAATCGAACGGGAACTGATAGTGAAGCAACGAAAGAACGATACGTACGAGTTTCTGTCCGGCGTGCCAGTTACACCCCGGACTAAATTCTTGTCCTTGACCGAGGATGGCGATCTGGGCCACTTCCAGTCGGCCATTCATTATATGCACTTCGCTCTCGCTGCTTATGGCTGGCCTATGTTCCTCGTTAATCATTCTACCGGTCTTTGTCAGCTGTGCACGAGGTAATGTCACCGAGCATCCGAGGCGCGTGTGTCGTGGTTCTGTGGGTGTCGATTGATTTTCAGCGATGTTTCGCGCGGTTGCTCGGCTAAATCGTTTAATCGATCGATGTTCGGTTTTTAATTATATCCACCACGCGTTTTCAACGCGCTCGTTTCTCTTTGAACGAATTTCGTTTCGTCTTGTCTACAAAAACACGTGTATGCATATAAGGTTCCGTTTGCAGAGAAATGAACGTCCAGAGCAGCAATAACTTCTCTAACAACGTAAATTTAGAATTTAGAAATATTTTTCAAGACACGCTTGTTTTTCTATCGAAGCCGCTCGTCCGATCGATTAACAGCGAGTGAATAGGTCTGAAGCGAAACGCCTGAAGACATTTGTACGGCTACTTAATTTCTAGAATGAAAGCATCGAGGGCAATAAGTTGGTTGAAACTTTGTGGCAGATTGCGATGCGGCTGTTTCCCGTGCGGCGGACACGAAGACGAGGCGACCGTTGTGGAAGACAATTGTTGCCAGTGCAATTATGCGGCGTTGAGAAAGATGGTTGACGTCGCCGAGGTGGAGGTCATTTATGCGACTTTTCACGTCGACGTCGGTGAGACGCCGTTCTTCGTCGCGCTCGATTACACGAAGAAAAAGGTTTCGCGCGTTTCCTCATTGATTCGCATGCATCGAACCGCGTTTACTCGAGAAACAATGAGAAACACAAAGAGAAATTAGAATCATCGATGTAGATACGTCGTGTGCGAGGTATCTGACGATGTTCGTTCGCGACGATCCTCGTTGACCGATCGATCGAATTAGCGACGTACAAATCCACATCGTGGATCCCGTGATTAGAGCAACGATAAACGGCACGTTGGCCGTTTAATCGTAGAATAAATGGACTTCGTTTAGCGACTTCATGAATTTTTCAACGGCTATTAAACGTGTCGGCGAACTTCGTCGCGGCGATATTCGATGAGATGTTGTTACATCTATATACCTACACTTACTATCGTATCTATAGAATCGTACCTTTAATCCTTAATGAATAAGTTACACCATTTCGCTTAACTCTGTTAAACTTCTCTCAAGTTTAGCGTGTACTTAAATTTCCCGTTTTTGAATAATTTAGCGATTGTTCAATAAAGCGTGGAACGTTGATTAAGAGCGGAGTGAAATCGACTCGAGTTTCTTATTTCCCTTTGTCCATTGAAAAATGGATGTGAGAGTGTGGAAGGAAGATTGAGAATTTTAGCATGGTAAAGGAAGTGGATCGAAATAATGAAAAACCAATAGTTTGTCTCTTGTTAAAATTCCGTAGAAAATTTTAATCCTCGAGTCTGGTACGATGTGGTTTAAAGGTCGCTTTATCCCGAAGCCGAGCGAACTTGAGAACAGTTAATTACCAATTTTCTGCTGCCTGTTTTCAAGGTTGTCGTTAGTATACGAGGAACCCTCAGCATGAAGGATGTATTAACGGACTTGAACGCGGAGGGTGAAGTGTTGCCATTGTCACCACCGAGAGACGACTGGTTGGGCCATAAGGGTATGGTCCAAGCAGCTGAATACATTCGAAAAAAGCTGCTCGAGGAAGGAATTATATCCCGCGCTCTCGCCAAGGTATTGTATTTTGCATTAAATGCAAATACTTTCTGATATATACATATATATATATATCAAATTATTGGATGGAACAACTGCGTCTTATCAGCAGGCTCATTATCTATTTCGTCAAGTTAAAATAACAATACACTGTATACAAAAATATATAGTCTTATTCTATTTGCATTTTAGTCTCTTTTAATGTTTAAAAATACTTCACGATTAACTAAACTTTTACGTTTATTAACATTGTTTTAGCATAAAAAGTCAGTGAAATAAAGTGAAATAAAGAATCCTGTTAATTGGAAAATTTTTGCCGCAGGACACGTCGAGAGGGACCCATCAGTTTGGTTTGACACTCGTTGGCCATTCCCTAGGAGCGGGTACAGCGGCTATCTTGGCGATTTTGCTTAAGCAAGACTACCCTGACCTAGTGTGCTTTTCGTTCGCTCCACCGGGTGGTCTCTTGAGCATGCCTGCTCAGCAATACTCACAGGAATTTATTACATCCGTGGTAGTCGGGAAAGATGTCGTACCTAGGATAGGCCTCAGACAAATGGAGAGCTTAAGAGCTGACCTCATCAATGCTATAAAAAGGAGCGTCGATCCAAAAGTACGTACGTTTATCGCGGAAGAAACAGAAAATAGTAGAACTTCTGTAACTTTGCGAACAAATGGAGAGATCGTCCATTTCCCAAATATTCGACACGCGTGTACTTTCCTTAACGTAGGGATTCGTAGCAATCGAATATCAGACAAAACTTGAGACGTCAGAGAGTTTCCAGGTCAATTTCAAACTTTGGAAAAGTCATATTTTACACGCGCCATCCTGTTAGTACGTGGCAAGGAGAACGATAAGTGGTCCCATATAATCAGGCGCAGAGTCGCGACATCAATTGTAACGATCGTTTCAGTGGAAAACGATAGCGTGTTCGGTGATGTGTTGCGGTTGCGGTTCCACCCCTACATCGGCTGCGAATTTAGAGGCTGGTGGATGCATCAGCGAATATCAGAGGGACAAGGACCTGGCTCGTTCGCAGACCGTTGTTCCAAGTGACTCCAGCATCGCGTTGACATTGCACAGGCCTCTGTATCCACCTGGCCGAATCATACACGTTGTTCGACATCATCCCAACAAGGGAGAGTAAGTTCGTTCGTTCATGTATTATCGTTGAATTCACTTCAAACGTTGCTAACTTGAAACGCAGAAACACGAAACGTTATGACGCACAATGTCTCTCGAGCAAGGCGACCAAGAGCAATAAATTTTAATGAATGGTGTTTTTCGTTTCTAGGCAAAAGTATGAGAGCCGTTGGAGGTACGTTTATTGGAAAGTTTGCATTTTCAGGGTTGCTCTGGGGGTAATTGCATCTTGGGGGATGTGCCCGCATGCGTTCCTTGGAGATTCGTATTCTACACTCCTTCCTTTGAAATCTATCGTCGCACATCTGTTTCCTGTCAGGGAAATTCTCATATAAATGTTTTTATATTCATATATTTGCATGAGTCTAATTTATAGAGAACGAGTACATCGTGTTACACCGCGCGATACGTAGCAATTATGAATTTTTATGTACGAAATAATTTTTCGCAAGACGAGTGGTACGGTTGTTCTCAAAGTTTGAAACGTGATTAAAACGCGTGACACCAGATTTAATAGAAAATGTAATGAACAGTACGTTAATCGTGATTCTCAAAAGACTTCCAAAAAATTTTTGAACTTTGAAAACCGCTGGACCACGTCGCCTCGTAAAAATAATGTAGCATATCTATAATATAGTTCATATCAGTCGAATATTCAAATGTACGGATGCATTTAACTGCATGAATTTCAAGTAGCGATTAGTGTCTCGTAGAAGATTAAATAATTGGAATTGGACTATACGAACGCAGGTTTCTTTTCCTCTATTTCAGACAAATGTTGCACAAACATGAACCTGTGTACCAAGCGCTTTGGGCAGGGCCGTGCGACTTCGACGAGGTGTTGATAAGCCCGGTGATGATACAGGATCATATGCCGGACAATATGCTGAAAGCATTGAACAAGGTAAGCCAGATCGATTCGATAATTCGTCAGATAAAGAGGTCGCAACAGCCGGTTTGCCGAATGTCCTCGGTGAGGCCCGGTAATTACGAACTGTTGGAGGAAACGACGGACGAACCGGACTCGAAGGAAGATGACAAGCCTCGAAACATAGTAACGAATGTAGAGAGTAATGGATACGTGAAAGATGGAGATGTTAGTAGCGTGCAAACTGAAAGTACTCGGAACGTCGCGGAGACGGATAATGAGACTATCGTGGTCAATGTCGAGGTACACGAGCAAAAGGAGACGAAGTCTGCATCTTGATGACGCGACGAAGCTCTTCTATCATGAATATCGATTCCTCTTACTGCTAATATTCACATTTGCGATAGAAAGTATAAAAATTGACAGAGATCGCAGGAATTTTATATTTCTTTTAATTCTGTTAACAATTTTCTACGATAATCTTTGCTGTGAGAGCAGTGTCATGACTCTTATATTACTTAATTGTAAAAAGTATTCTTTGCCAAAGTTATAAATATGATGTTGTTGTATGAATAATGTGGATGTCAAGAGTGTCAAAGGTAGCATAAATTCTTTTTTCGCGACAGAACTATTAACCCAGTGACGATTTATCAAGCAATACTACTCTAGATTTTTTATGATAAAACGTGTTTGTTAGAAATTGTTACTTTTTATCGAATTTTATTGTTCGACTAACGAGAACTGCGAGATTGAAGCGAATTTTGATCAACTTGTTGCGCAGTGTTTCTATATATCGTTATGCATTGAAATATACATAAAACCACAATTAAAGTGGTTGTAGTTGTAGTTTTTCTTAAAAGAGGGTAGTACTATTTTATTATTATCGTAGTTTTGTTACTGTTTTCATTTAATTTTATGTTTCTTCATTTATGTTTATTTAAAAACTATCTAATTTATAGTATAATTTTATCCTTTTTTTTAGTTAGTTTTTAGTACGTAGCATAATATTGAAGCAATATAATTAATAATAATAATGAAAGTTACTATAGCGAATATTCCTCTTTTTTACCTTTTTATTTTCATTTAAATTGATCAAGTAGTTGACACGCATGTTCCTTGATACTGCATGGATTACCGTAACATTTGCAAACAATTATATTTGTAGCTTTTCGCATAATTCTATGCGTCTCTTTCTTTTTAATCATTTTTGTTTTTCTCTGTATTTTATTTTATATTTTTACTTAAATCGATTGCATCCAAAACGACTGAAGATTCTTCAACGCAATAATTCTTACAAGAAAAAAAGTAATCAATGCAGCAATCGATTTCATTCAATAACTGGATTTTTTCATATCCAAACAGTACACCTTCCGTGTAATGTTGCAATTGCGTAAATATTATATCACATTAAATCTTTCATTCTGTTGTGGTCGTTTTGATTGCATATTGTAACAACTTGATTCTGTATAATTTTTGTAATGTATGCTACTTTTGATCAATATATTTTATACCATGAAAACGTTGTTATTTATTTATTTATTAGATTTCGCTTCCTAATTCTGTGCTTGAATCATTTGAAACTAATGTGAAAGGCAAGCACAGTTCATCATGTATTAAATTATACTTTTTATTTTATTTCATTGAATAGAAATGGACTTTATATAAATAATACACGTACAAGAAAATCATTATACACTCGTTTCGTTTGATTTTTCGCTAATGTGGCTACTGGTATTCGCTTTGCGTCTTGGATTGCGTCGTTAGATTTCCTCTCCCTAATTTCACTTCCAGATCACGCTAATGTTTCAGTCTCGGCTCGCAATGGCAGAGAAGAAAAAAAAAAGAAGATAACGGTGATTAATCTGCTCTCGCTTTGCATGTTAGTGACGAAATAAACGATTTCCGCATAGAACGTAGCTGACTGCGTGGAATATATCCAAAATTAATTGACTGCTGAAAACCTACGACAAACATTGGCGTGTAACAGAGAAAGCTAAATCCCTTAAATGTAGAAGCAATCCGTTGGATCAGTTCGAAGCCAACGTGGTAGTTACATAGTTTAGCGGCAAAAAACGGAGCATACTAACGGAGTTTCGTTGTTTTTGCGCCGATTGAAATCTCAGAGCTCCTTTTAGAATCTTCGCCATCCCAACCCGGTAGCAGTACAAGATTAATCGATTTCCGCAACTACGTAGCGTTAGATTAGGTGTTGCATTCGGAGTTGATGATGAAACATGAGAAAAAAAAAAAGAAAAGTTGTCCCCTCGAATCGTGGCGACCGGTAACCGGCGATTTCACGAGAGGATGTGTGGCTGAGGGTGTGTGGTGTGTGGATTAGGTGTCAGCGTGCAGAGATCGCGGCGCTGCAGACGGAGATGCTGTTGCGACGGACGCAGCGACCCAACGGACTCCTGAACAACGACACGTCGTACTCCATCATCAAAGTGCATCGACGAGCTCTCGCGGCCGCGACGCCGACGTCTATGTCACCACACACTCTTCTCGCCACGGCACAAGGTACATTGACGTCTTTCGGCTTCATCCGATCTGTGTTTCACGAGCAATTATGGACTGACTAATGATACCATTACGTTGGTCAATTATCCCTAATTAACGGTCTTGCATTCTGTAGATGATAGAGAAAATTTTCGTAGATATTTACGTTGGTAGAGTTGTAACGAGTACAATGTGTTGATTGTATGGTAAAGCTGAAAGTTAAGAAACGATATGGTATCACTGGTTCAGGACGGTGGTCGCTGAAGAAGTGGCTGTCTTTTGGTAATTGCTTGAAGACGTTCGTTATTGCTGAACGGTTGTTTGTTTTATTTGTTTCGACCTCTACGTTATATTTTCCTATTCTTTTGAATACTGAAGGGATCACTTAATCCGGGTTGACTAGATTTATTTTATATTAACGTTTGTCATAAAACAGTGAATTAGTAGATCCCCAATAAATTTTAAACTTGATTTTCCAATGTTATGTTGAATCAATTATTTAAATATGTAATTCATATCTATATTTCATATCTATATTGAGCTATCTAGTTTATTATCCTTTATATAATAAAATATAATATTACGGTATAATTGACGGTCTCATCTACAGCGATCAATAGATATGTCGATTACCATCGCCATTGTAGTTTAATCTATAATCATCCTTAATTGTATTATCGCATGTTTAATTCATAGCCACGATTTTTAGATACCACATTCACGATCGTTCGTTTACTCATTTGCTCAAAATTATACGTTTGCTTTTGAAATTTAATAGAAATACACGTATTGTGAATTAATTTAGAGATTAGTTCTATACACGAGATCATTAAACGCTAGATAACGGAAGCGTAATAGTTTATCGTAACAATATAATAACAATAAAACCGTAGATATAGAGCAGAGAATTGATCGTCGATTCGATAAATCGTTCATGCATGTGCACCCACACATTTAGAGTATTACATAATCACTGTACACTTGATTTTTTATGTTCGTAATTAATTATGTTTATCATCATTTATTGTATGTGAATTGCATGCGGAAACATCATAATGAAGCATTAAACACGTTCTATTTTCACACTAGTTTAATATATATCCATGGCATAGAATGTCACAGAACGTCACTACAGCGAGCGACAGTTCATCTTCATATTTTATCACAAACATTCTTTTTTTATTTATTTTTTTTTCTGAACAAAGTACAAAAATTCGCTTCCAAAATAGTACGAGGGCGAATAATAAAGTATGCGAACGAATTTCGTAATATATTAGCTGAATATTTAGCCAATTTACCCGGTAACTTCTCTATTCACGTTAGATTTTTCATAAATGCTTGTCGAGAATTTCATAAATATCTGTTGAGAATATTTCATAAATATTTCTGTGTGCTGTATAATGAAAATAAGAAATTCACAGTCGCCTTATTTTAGCGCAGCATAAAATAAAGAATGGATGGTAGTCGCAGTGCGTTTCCTAAAGTTTCAAAATTGCTTCAAAAACATATAAAGAACGCGAATTAAAATTTCCGAACCAAAGAATATTTTTGTAAGCGAGAATAAAATGACGCAGGAAAATATTTCAGTAAGTCATTCTTCCATGAAGTGATCTTCAAATCGACATTCCTGTTCGTCTTCTTTGTCAACGATACAGCTGTTTCTACAGTATTTTATCTATTATATTAACATTGAGACAAATCCAAATCTTATCTCATAATCGGTCAAATTTATGATCATAATTATTATCATAATTAGCACAAACTGGGGGAACAAAATAGAAAAACAAAGGAAGTGAATTTAAATAAAAAAGAATAGAGAAGCAAATTTAAATGATCATTTGCATTCAATTTGTGTCAATGTAAAATAGGAAAGAAATCATATGAATTAAAGATTTTCGATAGCATACAATAAAGGACAAGGTGACCATAAACTCTGAAATTGTCTCATGAAACGAATATTTTAAACTCGATTCCTTTTTCTTTCTGTAAACAACAACAAAAATTCTATCGATTCACGGCATTATCATCTGTCATTATCATCTATCATGATATCGCAGAAAATGTTACAAAAAAAAAAGGGTTTAAGACTTTGTGAATTTACTCACCAAGAAGAATAAAAGATATCCGAACAATTTTCAAAGTCTTATATCCTGTATATTGGGTGTACAACATTCACCAATCATCGACTCAACTCGAATTGCCTTTTGTATCACAGTAAGATACTTAGAATCACAATATGATAGTTTCATGTCGTCATTGACTTTCACAACGCGAAATAACACGGAATTGTCGTAAAATAATGTCTGACGGTTTCGTAAAACGATTATACTGGAACCACGCGTGTGGATATGTCAGGTTGTAACGACCCTGGGACCGGCGAAGCCACAGAGGTTGGCTTCCGGTCACGCATCATCGACGGAGGCGTCGGAGGCGCGCGAGGCCGTCGAGATCCAGGAAATGGAGATCGAGCAGGAGATGAGAGCGTTACTCTCTTCATCCAGCCCTGTAAAGTCGCATCCTAGCAACCTGGCTGGGACGCCGCCGCACAAACTCTGCCTGGAGACGAGCTTCACGTCCCTGCAGAGCCCATCGGAGTTCCCTCAAGCTGGTCGTGAACTCAGCGTCGATTCCAGAGGGATTCCGTGGGAGTACGTCAGTCTGGCCAGCGAGTTGCTCAACACGCCCAGGGCCGACGAGAGTAAATCGTAAGAATAGCAATTTTACGTGTGGACGACGAACGGAGGACTGACGTTGAATCGACGCCGATACGTTAGATTTACGATGAGGATTTTAAAGCTGCAAAAAGAAATACGCCACGAGAAATAACGGTGTTGCAAATTGATCGTTTTGAGAATAATAAACGTATGGGCAGAGAGATATTCTGTGTAGAATTCGTATTTTGTGAGAATTCTCGAATATTTGCATTTCGGGGCAGGAAATTTCTGCATTAAATTTCAATTTGTGCAATCCATTCATTCTTACGATGCATTTCTAATCTCGTTCGAGTTACACGCGAAGAACAATCAAAATGTCATTTCATTGAGTTTCATCTCATACATACCACGCTCTCGTTCACAATCGCTTACTTTTCACAAGATTCACAAGATTCACCGCTTCGGCAGCGCACGTACATATTCATTGCACTCCATCAAAACCATCTAACGGAAAACAGTTTCTTCTGAAAAATTACAGCTTAAGAGGAACATTTTGCTTCACGCTCTGTGAATAAACTGATATCTTATTTTCTTTATTATCTTCGACCATAAAATGTTACTCTTTAGCTGCAGTTTATTTTTTATCGATTTCAAGAGTTGCGTTAAAAAGGTCTTTTCTTGTTCCTTTTTTTTTTCTTTTCTTCTTTTTTTTTTTTTAATGTAAAGATCGAATCGTCGAAGCGACTGGGACGAGAGTTCTCGAACGGCACCACTGGCCACACCGGAAACCCTGTCGGAGGCGTCAAGCAGTCCACCATCGCCGGTACCGCCACCAAGGCCAATGAGGCGCACACCCAAGATTTCGGGAAACTTGTCAACGGCGGCGGACGACTTGAAGAACAACCTTCACTTCGCTATGCTCTCGGCGAAGAATTACTTCCTGAGGGAAGGGAACAACGGCAGTAACACAAGTAGCGGCAATAGCGAGGCGAGCTACGAAAGCGCCAGGAGCTTAACCGCTGGTCTTCCGCCGCCAGTACCAAGAAGACGGGACTCGGTCATCGTCAGGAGGTGGTCCATTTTTCTTTTTAACTTGACTCGTTATTACAGGAACTACAAAATTACCATTAGCATAACATTTATGAAAAATTGCAGAGAGCAAAGAGTGTGTACAGCTGCTTGCTGCAGGGACGATTTGTCGGAAAATTCCTCGTCGCACACCTCTTCTCATTCATCTAGGACGTCTCACACGTCGAATCGAGTGCAATCAGGTTTTCCCGTGGAGGAACACGAGACGAATGGATCTAGCTTGGACTTTTTCGAAGCAAAAGTATTCAATTGTCCTATAAAATATATTTTATAAATTTCGCACCTTTGCAATGTTAAAAAAATTGCTACGATTCTTACAGGGTTCTTCTGGACAACGTGATAGTAGTAACGACGTGTTCCTCAGCGTGAGAAGTTCCCCAGAGTGTAAAGGTTTGATGGCACCAGCCACGGATTTAGGAGCAGAGTGGAAAAAGAAATTTGACGCGACGGGAATGCCCGGTGATGCTTCATTGCCCCTTTTACGTGGACTATCGCCGACACCTACGCACGGGCAACATAGTTCGCCCTTCTTCAATGCGAAACGTAAGAAATACGTCTACCCAATTACACTGGTTGGTCGAGGCGAAAGTAGCGTTTAATTGCAAAATGTTAGACCGACCGGGGACCATAGAGAAGAGGCCGGATAGATTTTAAGTAACCAATAGGTATCTGTGCCAATGTCACATCCTTCAGTGTGATCGTTTAGAATCCTTTAAACCCTTGGATAGATGAACATACGAAATATTCTAAAATTAAGGGGCCATATATGTGCGTTGCCTCTTTTTATACGATCTTTCACTGAAGTATGAAGACAGTAAATGAAGATTCGAAATCTAAAAAAGTTCTAAGATTTTCGAAATAATAGATAGATAGTCAAATTGGAATATTTAGTTTTTATCATAGGATAAAAGAAGCTACTTTATGTTTCTCTTTTTGTACAGCCTCGAGTGAGACGAAATATTTTCTGATTCAAAAAGTTTTCTGCCAACTAAATAATAAACCAAAGGACAAATAAACTACAGAGATAATTACATGTACATTAAAGCTCTAAAAAGTAAATATACATATATAAAAACAAATAGGAAAATTAGTAAAAAGGCAATGGATTATATGAATGACAATTTACACGAATGAAGATGCCTTGCCATTCAAAAAGAATATCAACTTTACGTAACTTATACGAATAGAGATTCTTGTTCTTTTTAATCTGTTGATTGTAAATAACATGGTAGAAATATGTAAACGTTTGTAAGGAAATTGAAATGGCCTACTCACCGATCGTATTTAGTACGAATTTTTATGCATTTTTGTACATTTCAGTACGTTATTGTACATTTTTGTACAATAGAGTTAAAAAAGTGTGATAAAATAACATAGTGTTGTTTCAATATATTTCTTATAATCATCCATATGATTTTACTATGTCACTTAACACTGTCTCTTACTTGACGATTCAGGTCTTTTTTTATTATACAATTAAACAATAATTTCTATTACATTTTTTACTAATTTTTTAACGAACGCGAAAATAGGACTGAAAATGTATACAGATTATACAAAAGATGTAAAATATCCAGCAAAAAAAAAAAAAAAAATAATTATGTAACAGAAAACTATGAAATGTGAAACATAATTTTTATTAAAAATCTTTTAATAGTTGAAAACTTAAAGTAAAATTACTGTATTTATGTAAAAAAAAAGATAGAAAAATATATTTGATCTATTTAATTTTTAGCTTATATAATAGATATTTAGAAAATACTATATATAATATTTAAATATTAGAGAAATATTGTAAGTGACATTTATAGAAAAAAATATATATATATAATTAACAAAAGGTGATATATTGTAAAATAATTCATTTAATGTATCAAAATATACTTTTCAACAAATAAAAATGCTAATTTGATCCTTCTTACCCCTTTTTTATTTTACTTTTTTAATCGAAAAAGTCATTGTTAAAATTTAAAAAGCTCTTTATTGTATGGCAGATGCCCATGGTGGTGTCATTGGTTGCGGATTTTGTAAGTATGACATTACAACTGCTGATATGGATAACATAAAACTACTAAGAATTTGTTTGGCATCATCAGTCACTTTAGAATTGGCAAAACTGATACATGAACAATATAATGCAACCCATGCACACCATTTTAATCTCATCATTAAACCACACATGCTAAAGATCATTCCTAATATATTCATATAATCTGGAGTTGAATTGTCGCCTGGTTGTGCCTGACTGCTTGACACACTGGGTTTGTAACGAACTTCTCGTTCTGGCCGTCTAGGATCTGATGAACTGTTCATTTTATCAACTGAAATTTACACATAAATTCTCATTTAATAACCATTTATTACAAATTATAAAAATCAGAAAAAGTTTTAGGTTATCAAATCTACAATACATTATAACGATAGAAATTAATATTAAGTGATAATAATTCAAAATGATATAAGTTTACTTACCAGTATAGTATAATAAATATATAAAAAGTAACTTATACAAACAACTGTAATTCAACAATGACAACCAGCTGACTATTCAATAAATATTTCCTTTCAACCAAATGCACTATGAAGTTTCTTACTTCAGACATAATCCTGACATCTAGTAACATTCTGATGAGTTTAAGAATACTCAACTAATTTTTAAAAAGGTAATGTATTTTACTTTTGAATATATTTAAAATTATCAATACGTAAATGCATTTGTTTATTTTCAGATTTAATTAAAATTACTAAATTCTCACTAATCATTTATACTTACATTCCAATATACGTAAGATATCATAAAATCGATACATCAAATCGAAATCATATATTCATCACGTGCAATGTAGAATGCACGCCACGTGCATTATTATATACATTATTGATATTTAATGTTTCCATAAGCGTTCTAAATATTTTTATTCTTAAACATTAATGTGAAAAGATACATAGTTTAAAAATGAATATAATACCGTGTACAACTTGGGTGGGAAAAGGTGTTGCCTCCACAAATCCTGAAAAGGTTAATCAATTTTAATATATAAAAACGAAAATATTTCTGATGCGAAGTTTATTTCGTTTAATGGATCTAATTTACTAATTTTTTTTAGATTGAATTAACTCCAAAAGAATTAGAACAAATCATAAAACAAACACAGTCTGAATTACAGTAAGTATTATAGTAATATATCTGGTAATTTTAAAGGAATATTTGACAACTTTAAAAATATTTTAATTTTTAGAGATGAAATTGAAAGTGATGAGGAGCATGATGAAATTATAAAAGAAAAAAGTGAAGCAGAATCTCAACCTAACACATCCATAATTGATGAATATAACTTTGATAAATATGATGATGAATGTAAGATAACTTTTATCATATTACACTGTAAGTAATGTATTTTTTTTATGAAATCGATGTTAAAATACAGCAAATAGCATACATTGCAATATTGGTGGTATTGCAACTTTTGAAAAAGATGGAGAAGATCCCTTCATAACAGGAGAAGACAATGATTCAGAGAAAGAGGATGATATTATCAAAATCGATGATAATCTTGTATTAATAGGACATGTAGAAGGAGATGCCAGCATTTTGGAAGTATTTGGTTCGTGTATTATATAAATATTATAATTTTTTAATAAAAAATCTTTGTAAACAATTTTTAAAGCATAAATTTAAATATCTTTCAGTATATAATGAAAATGAAGGTTCATTTTATTGTCATCATGACATATTGTTACCATCATTTCCACTGTGTATAGAATGGCTTAACTTTGATCCTTCAGATCCAAAACCAAGTAAGTATAAAATATTTCTATAAAGTTGTAGAATTTATATAAACATAGAATTTATATCCTGTTAGAGGTAATTTATGTGCAATTATAAAATATTTCTATAAAGTTGTAGAATTTATATAAACATAGAACTTATATTCTGTTATAGGTAATTTATGTGCAATTGGTAATATGACTCCTATAATAGAAGTGTGGGATTTAGATTTGATAGATTGTTTAGAACCAGCTTATAAACTTGGTTGTAAACCAAGTAAAAAAAAAAATCGGAAACGTGTTGGACATAAAGATGCTGTATTAGACTTAGCATGGAATGAAAATTATGCGTTAGTATGAACTTAACTAAAAAAATTTTATTGAGAATTTTTTATATTGATTAGTAAAATAGCTTTTTATGTACTTTTATAGGCATGTACTTGGTAGTGGCTCTGTTGATCAAACGGTTCTATTATGGGATTTAGAGAATGGAAAACCTGTAAATAAATTTACATCTTTTCATGAAAAAGTTCAATCATTAAAATGGCATCCAAAAGAAACTCATCAATTACTAACAGGTTGTGCAGATAAGTATGTTCATCAATTTTCAATTATTTATAGAGATTTTGTAACTGAAAAATACTTATGTGTTTAATTTTTTATTCAGGGTAGTGAGATTATTTGACTGTAGGTATAAAGAAATTATGAAGACATGGGAAGCATTGGGAGAAGTGGAAAAAGTATTGTGGAATTATTTTGATCCAAATTATTGCATAGTAAATATATGAAATATATTAACTTTTATTTGAGATAAGATTAGATTATTTAAGATCATTTTAATTGTTATTTTTGGTTTAGGTTAGTACATCTAATGGATATATACAATATATAGACATCAGACAAGACAAACTAGTTTGGAGTATAGAAGCTCATACGCAAGAAGTAACTGGTATATAAAATTGAAATATGAACAATGTTCATAAATATGAATTATAAGCAAATTCACGATTTTAGGTTTAACACTTAGTTCATCATGCTATGGACTTCTAGTTACTTCAGCAAATGACGGCGTCATAAAAGTATGGGATATTATTAACAACACAGAACCACAGTTTATTTGGGAAACAAAGACCAATCTCGGTGCTTTATTATGCCTTGCATCAAATCCAGATAGTCCTTTTATATTTTCCGCTGGCGGTGATAATAAATCACATAATTATAAAATATTTGATATCTCAGAAATACCAGAAGGTATGTCGATATATAATTCTAGTTTATAGTATAAGGTATGTCAATATATAATTCTAGTTTATACCTGTATCATCATATTATAATTTAATATCTTTTTTTATTAGTACGCGAGAGATTTCAAGAACGGAAGCGTGTTACATTAAGAAATAGTACCAATGATACAAAAATAAAAGAGCAAGAGGAAATGATGGATGTAACTGAAGATATGGATTCAATGGTTTTAAATGCAAATAATAACAAAAATAATGTCTAAAAGAAAGGAATAAAAGTAAGTAAAGAAGTACAATAAAGATTATAAATTATATTAATAATGAAATCTGCAAAAACTACAACTTTTGATATAAATAAAATATTAAAAAGGAATGCACTATTTGGAAGGCTAAACTAAAATTTGTATTTTTTCTTCTTAAAACATGTAATTTATTTTTTCCTTGTAATAATATATTATTAATTTCAACAGTATTTTTCGAAAGTTTTACAATCTGTACAACATAGTAATTCTGTTCTAATAATTTACAACACACACAAATTCAATTTTATTTTAACATATTTTTACACATTAAAGACAATTGGTACAAACTTTTGATTTTAATTGATCCAATATTTTAAAAATTATTTTTTTAATCAGTGAATGTAATCGATAATATAGATTTTGTAGTTGTACATTATAAAATATAAGGCGTGTACTGTAATGATTAAGAATACATTATCTTGATAATGATAATTTAATATAATATTTGTTACGGATTTTTCAATTTTTGTCTAAAGTAAATATTAAAATCAAAATGATTCAACGAAAATTTGACATTCATTTATATAAAATTTATATAAAATCGATGATCATGGAAAACAATTGAGAAATAGCAATTACAATTTTATTGTTCTATATCATAAACTCTTTTTAACATTGCATGATTATATAATTTTTTGGTACCTGAATAATTGTATGTATAAATGTTTGTAAAAGTATGGATTTACTTTCATATTTATACATAAAGAATATTTACTTTAATGACAAATTACATCTTAGAGGTCAATCTAACTAGCATATAAATATTTTACATAAAATTAAAAAAAATTAGTTGTATAGCATGTTAACATTCCATGTACTTATGAAATAATCATATGGTCCTTGTAGTCACAATAAATTTTGTGTCAATTCAGTAATGCTATTTCTTACCTGGTAACGAAAGACATGTAAAAATAAATATAAAAAGAATTATAAATCACAGTTATAGTGATTGGGTAGTTACTAATATGAGCTAGCTTTGCAGCTTTTATGCTCTGTTGTAGTACCAGTAATAAAAAAATGATAGTCTATAGACATATTTCACTATTTGTGATTTTACTATATAAAGAAATTAATATTTAGTAAATTGGTCAAATATTTTCGAATAATATATCGAATTTCTATATCTTAATATATTATTAAAGTATGGACAATAAAGAAGTACATAAAAGTTACATTTGTTGTATTGAACATAATGAAAATTGTGAGCAATCAAAATTAACAAAATTCTTTATTATAAATTCAGATATTATTTAAAATATATATTAAATCATGCAATACCTATTTCAATTTATATTATGTTCTATATTATGTAATTTAATTGCATATTCTTTTATGTATATATATATATATATATATATATATATATATATATATAAATTAAAAATTTCTGCAATAATGAAATTAACTGTTATTAAAATGTAAAAGTTGGAACAGATCAAATTTATAGATAATTTGGAATGGGATAAAGGTATATACGTACCAATGCCAGTTTCTTAATTCGTCCTTGCAGTAATTATTAAATAAACAAGTCAAATACCTCATACATAAATGAGTTCGTTAAAATATTCTAATTATCAATAATCTTACAACATGCTCTCTGGCAGTGGTGTCATAGATTCAATGAAAGTCATGTGGACATTATTATGTCAACAATTATTATATCAAATTCCATTTGCCATATTAAGGTACATATATAATGCATTTGTTATGATTAATATTGTATAAATAATGTCTTATGTAATATCCAAAGTTGCACAGATAAAATTATCTAAAAGATTTAAATAAATATTAAAAATCAATTTTCTGAATATTATTAATCTAAGAAATAAACAAATTTAACTAACTTTGTTTTGAATGTCAAGATTGCTGTTATGAAACAGATAGTTTTGATGTCAATATGTAGCAACAATATATAACATATTTCTTACATTATATTGAAGACATAATTTAATGTTTCCACTGATAGCATAAAACATTTGACTTCATTGAATGTTACATAACCTGTAACATATAGACAAAATGGTTGTTTTTGTCTATAGAATGGACCATAGTCCATAAAGATTGACATATATTATATATTAATTACATTAATTCATACACATATGTAATATAGCACTGAGCTAAGCATCTGTTCCTATATCAAGACTTCTAGAATCTTGATTAGAATCGTGTTGACTTCCATTTTCAGAAGAAGCACTGCTAGATAAACCAGATTGATCTGAACTTTTTTTCACTTTGGGCTTATATTCTGTAATAACGACAGTAACATTGTTCACTGTCACTTCATTGGTCTGAGCAGTACTACGATCTATATTTTTGAGACGAGGTGGATGCCTATTTTTACGCCTTGGTTTGTCCAATTTACGGTCTTTTTCTTTACCACTACTAGTTGTACTACCCCCACTTCCACCTTCCTTTTTTCCAGGTTTTAAAAGTGGTACATATTGTTGCTGTGCAACCTATATATAAATAATGTTAATGAGACTATATATTTTTAATATATTATAACTATATATTTTTAATATATTATAACTTTATTATACATCACTGCACTTATAATATATATAAAACATTATAATAAAATACTATAATAATGTAACCTGTTGTGCCACAAGTTGGGGATTAATACGGGGTTTCCGCGTAGAAGTTCCTTTGCGGACGTCACACATGAGGCACTTAAATGCTTCTGCGGTATTTCTATATGTGCAAACACTGCAGTCCCAATAGTTTTCTTCCAGAACCTTCGCCTGACGTTTTCCACTTCCCGAATGGTTCATTGTTCATGAAAGTCAGTTGTAGAACACTGTACCTTCTCAAAAGAGAGTTAGCCTTCCTATGCGTGCTTTCAGCCTCATTAAAAGTGATTTTATAAACACTGGATACTTTATGACAATGAGAATGCTCTAAAAGAGCAAGGATAAAGATATGTAATAAAAGAAATAGACAATTGCCTAAGACAATATTCTGTGCATCAACTAAACAAGATACACAATTGTCTGATGTATTCATCTTTGCTATATAAGCCATCTATATCTCTTTGTTGTGACATTCTGATGTACATGTTTTAAAATATATATCTAAAACAAATAAAATGTACATTTTATATAATATAGTAAATAATTGCTTTTAGTGCCTAACACAAATTTCACAATGTATCTGTAGTTTAACCCGTATATTGTGTAATAAACATATTTATTGTATTTATTATTACTTAACATATACACGCGCGTGCGTGTACATTATGATACATATTGTTTAAAAAATTAAATCGATTTATTACAAAAATTCATAATAAAATAGACTTTTATATAGAATAATATAAAATATTATTTATTCAATGTACCTACCAATTGAAAGCACCAATTTATGGAACTTTTTGTATAGTAAGGGTTATCCGTCGTTTTTTGTTGTATCACAAATTTTTACTTTTTTACTTACAAAACTTATATTAAACATCCATGGGGCAATGTGTTATTAATAAAATCTTAATTATGAAAAGTTTAAATACTTTTTATAATGTAAAGATTTCAAGCATTCTTTTTTTAATGAAACAGATGGAATTCTTCACTTGCATATAAAAGTAGCATTATTCCACATATACGATGTTCTCCTTGTCAGTATTACCAGTATATTTTATACACGTACACAAGACATTCTGACACATTTGAAGTCAACATATTTTTCTGAGTTTTTGTGTCATTGTAAAACAGTTACTTTACACATAAAACATTATAAAAACCAACTAACTCGAAGATATTGACAAACAATCCAAAGCGCTGTTCCTCTATAGGTCGAACAGCGGAATGTTGAATACGGACTAAAATACTGTTGGGTTTGGCAACATTGTACATACCAGTGTTGTAGATCGTAATAGAAAGGCCCTTTTCTACTTGCTCAATTACGAGAAATATGTATCAATATATTTTATTATAAGGTGTATCAGATTTTTAAATAACATGAATTATCATGAATATTATTTCACGATAATATAAAAAGATATTTATATGAATAATTTTAGAATAATGTGTGTTTGCGTATAAAGTTTTTAATTATTTCAATCTTTTGTTTTATCGAGTATTTATGTAGAGTTTTACATACTTTCTACTTAATGATACATAAGCAAAAAAAAAAAAAAAAATTGTAAAATATAGACTTCGGTTTAACTTTCACACATTCCTGAAAGTTTTCTCTTGAAACAAATACATAGATTTGACACACAGTAGATGTGTTATACGGTAGATATATGATAGTGCCGGACACGATAATTCTCAACTGTTAACTGGATGTTTTTTTCTTTTACTGAGTTTGATAAAAAATAATGCGACGTATGTAAATGTAATTACGAAGAAAAATAATAGTCTATTGTACAAAATTGTGCTAGGTAGCATGGTATGTTGTATAACTGTTTACCAGTTTTGACATTTAGAATTAGTTTCAAGGTTAACGAATACAAACAATAATAAAAATTAATATTTTTTTCATATGGAAAAAATTAGTACAGTGTGATTAACGTACAAACTTGTTTCTTTTTTAAACACATTTCTTAAATATTTAGTAAAAATACATTAAACAGTTCGAAATACATGTAACAAACATTTTATTTACTAGGATGTATCAAATGAGATGGATAAATCATGGGATCATCCATGGACCACAGAGGAAATGCGAAGAAAGAGAAGAGAATGGAGTTTAGCAGGAGATGCAGGACTCCTTAAGCATCTTCAGCAATTTTCCGATGTATGTTTGAAATTTAATACAATGTTTCTTACCAAGTAGCATATATTAAAATCACATATATAAATATATATTATATTTATTGACAATATTTTATAGAATGTAGTATCAAGAGCAAATAAAACTCAAGAAGCCTTAGATTCACTGACAACTCAACTAAATGAAACAGCAATATTTATAGATAATATTACCAATACATCTTTGGCTCTAGCCAATACTCAATTTATTGAGAGCCGTGTGCAGGAAGATAATATAGAAATTGGGGAACAAGTAGAAACATCAATTCAGGTAATTGAGAAGTTTAGAATGTAAGATATTGTTATTTTTCTCAATTATTATTATGTTAAAATTTGCCTTTAGCAAAATAAGGATGAAGATTCTATAACTGCAGATTTTATAGCTAGTGTAAGTGAAAGTGTAAAGCAAGGCCTAAATATAATGTATGAAAAATACAAAGAAATGGAGTTTGTTGATAGTGATAGTGAAGAAGAGGACAATAAAGTAGTACTAAGGTTAATGTTATTGTCAAATTATTTTTATTATTGCTGGACTATTTTTATTAAGGTATTAATAATTTAATTATAGTGTTGTATTGGGGCCAAATAATCCATATCAAGAACGACCTTTGCCTTATGTGATTGGCTCAGAAAAATGGAAAAATTCAAATAAAATTGGTTTAGAAAGCAGTAGTGAATCTGAACAAGTAGATGAAGAAGAGGAATCGGAAAGTGAAGATGATACAACAGCAGCGTTTAAAGATTATAATATGAATGCTGCACCAAAAGTTGCATTGTTACCTTCTTTGAATGAATCTGATTACAGTAAAAGAAATGATATGGCATATATAGGCAATGACAAAATGGATACACTTAGTCAAAATGATATAGATTCTGTTCCTGAATCAATTACTCCTACTGATACTGTATCAAAGGTTTTTACATTCTTTTTCCTTTTCTTTTAATACATATATTCTTCAACGTTATTTTTTGTTGTATATGTAATAGTATTATAAGATTTTTATATTTTGTTTTAGGTACCATTACCAAACAGCATAACACCAAATTTTGCAGAAGAGTTAGCTAAGCGATTAGGTACAGTTCGACAGGCCCAAAAACCTGTTGTAGATGAAAAAAATGAGTCATCAATAAATCGATTTAAAGGTATAATTGGTATAATTTAAATCTATTTTTTCTTCTTACTTTATTTTATTTTAAATTTATTTTATTATTTTTTTATGCATATTTGATTTTTATTACATTTTTATTACATTTTTTAGATGATCTATTTACACCAGAGGAAGATGAAAACATTTTGAGCGATAAATGTAAAACTACATTGGGCAGAAATAAAGGATATTTAAATGATCAATTCACTGGAGATTTATCGAAAGAAAAACAAATCAAATCGTATAAGAATAATATCATACCTGCTAGCATTGATGTACCGCCTCCAATTAGTACTGTTTGTAAGTTTTTTGTAGCTTAATTTTTACAAACTTATGTCTTTTTAAGATATTTCATAAGAGAATCTGTATTTGTAGCGACGAAACCAAAATCTGCAATCGATGATCTTTTTGCGGATGTTGATTCCGATGATATTTTTTCGCCGAAGAATACAATCACGAAAAATAAATATTCTAGTAATAATAATCAGTCATCAAATTCAAAAAATATACAAAAGAAATATTTAGAGACTGTAACAGCAACTAATAATATGGCCACAAGTACCCCAGAAGCTGACGTAAATACTACTAATTTATTTAATGATGACGAAGATGTTAGTGACCTCTTTGGGTCATCTAAAAATCCACAGCTAAATAAAAAAGTAGGATCGCGTAAAATAAACTTAAAACATAAATGTGAAACATAAATAATTTTATGACGGAATTGTAAAATTAATATAATATCTTGTATAATATTTTAGAAACCAGTAGAGGGAGTACCAATATTTGGAAGTATCTTAACTTCAGAGATTGAAAGTAAATTATCTCGTAGGATATCGCGTACTCAATCATCTGGATCATCCGGAAGTAATACATCAGCGAATTATGAAATTAGCAATGAATCAATACTTGATCGTTCGCGAAATACTATTTTGAACAATAATATTAATGAACGAGACTCTATTGTGATAGCAAGAAATAATACAGAAAATTCGGTCATCGTCGCCGAAAGTAGCTACAGCAGCGGAATATCGATTCATCCACCAAGTATCAATAATACAGGTGGTTCAAGCATAGGGTAAGTTTCAATTTTTTTACTATTGCTATAACTATTGCTATAAACTGTAATTAGTTAAATTAGATTAAATAAGGAATCAGATAATCTAAATTATGGGTTATGATATATTCTGCTATAAATAAAATTATTGGATTTACGATTGCTGGGTCATTTTTGATAATATATTGATAGAAAGTTATATCGTTTTTTTGTTTCTACACGCATAAAAAATATACGAACTACGCATATAAAATATTAAATTGATGATCCAAACATTAGTCATTCTTCATTGCATTACGGTGATTGTATTGACTATATGCGCGAACTCAAGGCGAGCGCCTTCAGTTTACTTTACTGTATCTTGTTCCAAGCTAGTATTTCGTAGACATATGTTCGAATCAACAGTTCTCAAATTGTTTATTTATTTCTAATTATAAAATCTAGTAAGTACTACATTATTTCTTAATAATATACATTATTTAAATCTTGATGATAATTTTTTAGTTTGCGCAAATAGATTCTGTATAGATTCTATAGATTTTATATCACGTTGCTGCTAGAATATATATAAATTATATTATCAGTCAATAATTTTTCTTGAATAATAGTATAATATGTAGAACAGTGGGTAATACTATGTACATACATATTGATTTAAGATCAGATCACTTACGCAAGTCCTGTTATATGACCGTTCGAATAGCGCATATATTGTTTGTAATCTCTGTAACACTTTTCCATGAATAGATACGTCTTTTTTGAAAGTCAAGTTATTAAATTTATAATTCTTTTTAGCGTGTCATAACAAAATTTTTCGTGATATAATTTAATTTTTGTCAATAAAAATTGAATCACTTAGTATATCATATTATCGCTTCAGTCCTTTGACAATTTATTACATGCAATTATATATTTATTTTGTCGCGAGTTATTGATAATTGCCATATTATGTATCATCTTGTTATACATATTTTTGTATCTCGCAAACATGATATTGAATAATTGAATTTGTTTTAAAACATTGTTTCATTGAAGAAAATATTAGTTTCATGGAATATTAATATTTCTTTATGATAAATTCATTTTAGATATTGCATTTCACATTTTTCTCAATCTTTATTTGAACAGCGAGCGTTGTCTTATTGATTTTATCATGTCTAACTCTATATGTTTTATTAACATGCATTGCGTTTTAAGTTTCATGTTTCACTTTCCTTTTATTTTATAATTTTAAAACGTATTTTTAAGAAAGAAAATCGTATCTTTTAATAAAGAGAATGAGATTGTTATTTATCCTTGTTTCAATTCTTATGGTTATTTTGTTCTAGCGTTGACTTCCAGCCTCAGATGACGTCAACACTTTTAAAATCGGAAGAAATCTACCGAGAACGAATCAGCAATGACAGCCTTTTCACTGCACGTACACAGAATGCAGTGAATGTTACTTCGATTTCGAATTCGACAAATAATCAGCCGCAGGAAGAATCGATCGAAGATATTTCTTCTATACAACAGGATGATGTATTCGAAAACGAAGACCTGTTTGGTCCACCTCCATTACCAAAAGCGGATTCAAAGCCAGCAAAATCGAAGATTGCGTCATTATTTGACGATTCTGATTCTGGTGACGAATTATTCTCGACAACCAGTTCAGGTTCTAGATCGCAAAGAAGTAGCGATTTATTAACTTCTCAGTACTCCGATAAAATCAAATCTACGCAACGGAAAGGCCTCTTTGATGAGGAAATTGATATATTCGATAATAAGGATTCACCAGACGTCGATATTTTTGGCATAATACCGAAACCGATTGCAAAACAGGAAAACAGTACCTCTAATAGAAAATTTTTGGATATACCTGATGATGATCTATTCGCAAACAGCATCCGAAATACGATACCGAAAAACAATGGTTTAGAAAAGAATGAAAACATTACTACGTCGAAGGAGATTAAATTGTTTGATGACGATGATATTGAAAATAATGATTTATTTACTATAAAACCTGTCAAAAGCGAAACCAAGAATGAGCCTAACATTTTTAACGACGATGATGAAAATGATTTGTTTTCCGTAAAGAAGCCAATTGATAAGAAACAAAAAGATGATAAACAGTTGTTAGAAACGGTTGCATCCGGAATAGATGTGACTCAGAAAGTTTCCGTTGGGAAGAGCGAAAGTAAGAGTAGCGATGCTCTTTCAAATAACGGATTGTTTTCTACTACCATTGGGTCACACGGATTAATTTTCGAAGATGATGATTATGATGATTTGTTCAGTACTAAAAATACATCAACGGAAAAAATAAAAGAAGATGCAAATTTGGATACGATGGAAGAGACTAAAGAACGTTCTATTAAAAATGTTGAAACATTAAATGATTCTGATATCGTTATCAAATCTGAAGGATCGAATGTCCTTATTACCACGCCTAAGATAGAAAAAAATAATGATACACAAATTAGTAGCTCTGATGAACGCGACTCTATGCCAAATACCGAAAACGGATTAAAGAAGAGCCCTCCAAAGTCGTTAGACATACATACAACTGCTGCTTTGTCTTCACCCGAAAAAAATAATCAAGGAGCGAAACGAGTAGTTTCTGGAAAGATAAAAAATTTAATGGGAAGAATGAGTGACTTGAAGATGATCTCGCCTATGGATACACCACCGGTATGGCGAAGAAGCAAAGAAAAAATGGATGAAGAAGATAGTGCAGCGGATAGAGATAGCGATGACGGTGGATGCGTTAGCATACAAGGTCATAATTCGCCATTAAGTGTATCAGGTAATATATACTCATTGATTTTTTAATGTGGTATAATTTACTCTTTTAATATGGTATATCTCAAAGTCAAATATTATTTTTCAGAAGACAGTACTACACAGAAACAATCGCAGCCGTCGACAATTTCGGATGAAAGTAATGTAGAAAATGCCATTAGTTTCGACGAGCCAGCTCAAGTAGAAACATTGTCTATTACCGCTTCAAAGGTAAACTATATTGAAAGCTTGAAAAATAATTCTGCTGATCATTTATTTCTTTATTTCTATTTTTTTTATCATTTTTCAGACCCGAGTTAGAATACAAGCAAGACGTCGACCACAAAGTAGGCAAGCACGAAAATCTGCCATTAGGCAAAGCGGAATCGATTTTGATACTGTAGATGCTGTTAAGAATAATTCACAAGATGAGAATCAAGTTAATCAATCATCAAGTATTTTTAGTAAAGAAATCTCCACGACTGCGAACGTTAGTGCCCCGCATACCACCGTGATTTCTGATCACTTGATTTCGTCAACAAACGATAATCTTTATCGAACGTCTGACACTAACATATTCTTGGTTGCGGACGATAAATCTGAATTAGGTAGCATAAGCAAGGAAAGTTCAATGAGTGCGAACAAAAATACTTTACTGTCCCCGTCTACAGACGAAGAAGATTTATTTGACGTACCGCCAGATTTACCAGAGGATCCACAAAAAGAAGATACATTGTTTGGTAGAGCACCTATTCTTTCTCCAGTTGAAAAAGTTATTTCTGAGAAGCCACCTGTTACCTTTAAAGTATTAAAAGACACGCACATTAAACAAGTCGATGATGTAGAGACAGAAACAGGAAAAACTCCACAAAAGATAGAAAAAAGTAGCGCGCTATCTGAATCTAACATCGCTTCTAATGAAAATGTTATAACTTCACGTGCCATTAAGAAGGAATCCAAACCAGAAGATAATACGAAATTCGAGGACAAATCAGAAGAAATGATCGATCCATTACGAGATGATAGTCATGATCCGTTGAAAGATCCAAGTCAGTTATTCGCTTTTGTTACGAAAACACCGTCTCCAGAAAAAGGAAAGAACTTGCTTTTTTCCGAAGACGATAGTTTGTTCTCTAGTGGTAACAAGAAATTAGCTGAAGAAAAAACTACGAAAAGGCCAATCCTAGACTTGTTTACTGATGATGTGGAAAGTGATCTATTTTCGGTGACTTTAACTAAATCTGTAAAAAAACCTTTGAAGGATACCAAGATTAGTTTGTTTGACGAAGAAGATGAAGATGATAGCTTATTTGGATCTGTTGCAAAAAAATCTACAATGGAAAGCGAACCTGGAAAGAAACATTCTGCGGAGCAATCTGCGAAGAAAATAAGCTTATTTGGTGATTATGATAACGATACAAATCTATTTTCTGAGCCATTTGAACAAATACAGAAGTCAGATTCTGAAAGTATTCAAGAACCATCGAATAAAAATAACATATTTACAAGCATTACGGAGACCGTGAGAACCTCGCACATTACGGATATTTTTGCCGATCAATCGAGCGGAGAAGATGATATTTTTACCAAGATATCGGCCCCAAAGAAAATCACTGTCACATCGAAATCCCTGTTTCCTTCTGATGACGACGACGACGACGACGATAATATTTTCGGTAAGAAATACACAAGTGAATCGCATATAAAAACAGCAGAAATACGCTCGAGCGTTAAAAAAGCGGTGACAAGGGATCTAAAAAAGACAGCTGAAAAGATTGGCGAAGATCCATTGAGTGCTCTATTAGATGATTAAATGTATTTTTTCTTTTTTCGGAAATTATATGTTATTGATATTTGTTGTTTAATGTATACATTCCATAAATTTATGAAATTAGAACAGGAAACATAGAAATTGAACATATACAATACTTTCGAAGTTGTATATTTATCGAAAATCAGGTGTACAAATTATGAATAACGCTGTGCGTTAAAAAATATTGTCACTACAAAATGATGGAAAAGAATTTGATTGTATATATTTGTTTTTATTTATTCTTTCTATTGCTACATATATTTTGCAGTATTTTTTCATTGTCACTGTTACAAATAGAAATCATAAAACTACTAAAATCATAATAGTACCGAGGACAACGAACAACAGAATATTACACAAATAAAACAGTAATTAATATTGCTTGATTTGTTGCCATCTTGTTACATAATCCTTTCGCATAGTCTGCAAGCAATGCTTTTACATATAATGGTATATCATGATAAATATTATATTTTCTGTAATTTATATATAATTCGTCGTGTATGTATATTTTATTTGTTGATAATACATATATGACATTCAGTAATATATTGTATTGTATATATTGCATTCTCTTTATGAAACGTGTATTAGTACAAATAAATTAACAAAATAAATATCATTTATACTGTATTTAAAGATTTAATTTCTATTCTCATGCAAACATCAAGATCAGTATCTTTAATGAAAAGATAATTTTTATTAGATTCATGATCATTAACTAAAGTAACTATTTTGCAAATTTTATCATTTATGTATATTTCTAATAAATTTATGTTAATAAATTGAATGCAGAATTTTTTTTTTGAATATTCATTAATTTCTAGCAATTTACGCATTAAAAGGTTCAAAGGTACGTCCGGCATTTACAGAACAATGCTAGTATACTTACAATTGAAATTATATGTGAATTAAGGAAAATGAATGAATTTGTAAAAAAGAAAATAAATGAAAGGAACAAATTAAAATCAGATAGAACAAACGATTCATTGTTTTAAACAATAGGCATATTGTTCATCTAACTATAAAATTAATCTTCTTTTGAAAATTGTTTATGTATTTATATTCAGAAACTGAATAGGAATAGATATTTAAAATAAATTATTGAACTAAATTTCATGTTCAACTCCATAATTTTCATTAATTTTTACATTTATCTTAAAATAAAATCCTCAGTAGTTCTTATAATGACATGTCATCACACCTGTTTTTACAATGACATTATCATTTTTTAGTTAATTACATGGAAATATATTCGTCCTCAATTCATTTATTCAGAAAGTATTCCAAAACATGAAATAAACATTTACAGGGATTGTTTCGCGATGCATTTACGTGATATCATTTCCATAATTATTTAAGCATGACTCTTAATCTTTTTTTAACCTGGTCATTTGGTAAATGACTTTTTTAATTTGCATAAAAAAAAATTCACTTCTATGTGTGGCGTAGTTATATATTCAAAGAAATGTGTATCTGTCCAAAGTTATTCGAACGGGGTCGGAATATCTTACAGTTTAAATTCATACGTCGTCGAATTCACGTCGAAGGTGTTAGTTAAATTGCTACTTCATATTTGGTAAAGAAAAAAAAAGAATCAATATTACTGTCGTACTCTTATCTTCTTTCTTCCCAAATTTAACTTTTTTAAATCGACGAATTTCTTTTTATCATATTTTTTTTAAGTTCGCTTTCATAATTATGTCATCCATATCATATATTCTATTAATTACTAGTATTAAAATGGAGTAAACAAACTATACAGAATTCAGGGAAGAAATATGTTAAACACTTCTTTTAGTTCAAATAATGAATTAACATTTGAGTAAGCAATTCATATTATTAAAAAGTAATATTTATTTTCTAGATACATTTCATCTTATTGCCTTGACTTATCAAATATATCATTGATATATTTTTAAAAATTTTTCAAAACAATTATCATATTGAATTATATATATTATGTGAGATTTAACAGGTAGACTGTCAACATGTCTGCAGTTAGAAGTAATTTATATATAGACGACCTAGTGAATTTTGCTGAAGCAACGATTTCAAATGAAAAAAGTGAAATAGCTGAATTTTTTGCTCATACTAACATTTTGATAACAGGAGGTACAGGTTTTCTAGGGAGCCTAGTCATCGAAAAGTTGCTCAGGTATTTTACTAATACTACACTATATTGAAACAATTTTTGAGACATTAAACACACGCAATAGATTAATAATGACTATTTAGTTGAACAACATATAATCATTTATTTCCTGTAATTTTGTTCTGTAAATCATTATATGATTTATAATCTATTTACGGACATAAAAAATAATATCACTTTGCCTTGAAAATTTCGTTAGTTTAAGTTTTGATATTTTTTTAATTATAATTTTTATTAAATATGTCATTTCTAATATATCTCAATTCGTCCATTGAACCATTGGTTTAAAAATACATCTATTTATAAACTTACGTTAATACGTTACATCTGAGTATAGTGACTATGCAATTTTCGAAAAATTATACAACTACTCAACAACTTTACGATTTAAATTTTAATTTCATTATAGATATATTTAATATCAGTAATAGAAACTTTTTTGATATTTTTATTACGATTAATACGATATCTTATATAACAAACATTATTTGATTCATTGACTTGGAATATACCTATGTGTTAATATAATTCTTCCATACTTTTTTGGGTAGTTATTGTACTTCATTATATAAAATGTTTATAGATGTTGTCCAGGTATTACAAAATTATATATGATAGTAAGACCAAAAAAAGGAAAAACTGCTTTAGATCGATATAAAGAAGCTTTTGGAGAAGTTGTGAGTAAAATAAATATTATAATAAATATAAGTATAAAATAAATATTTTAATAAATATAATAAACGAATAATATAAATTGTACAATATTTTTATTTATTAGATATATGATAAGTTAAGACATGAGCAACCGAATTTTCTACAAAAAATAGTAATGTTAGAAGGTGATGCAATGGAAGAAGATTACGGATTGTCGCCAGAAAATAAAAATGCTTTAATGGATGTAAACATTATTTTTCACGTAGCTGCAATTGTACGATTTAATGAAAAACTTCGAACTGCAGTCAAAATTAATGTTAAAAGCACAAAGTTCTTGTTATCATTCGCAAAAAAATTACCAAATTTGAAGGTATATCTAATATTCTATACAAAATATGTTTCACTGACTTATGAAGCACATGAATTATTATTAATAATAATAAATCATTACATTTGTAGGCTTTTGTATACGTATCAACTGCGTTTTCACATTGTATAGATAAAAATATCGATGAAATACACTATACAGATATCGATGCAGATAAAGTTCTGGCATTATTAGATATCTTGGATGATGAAAAATTGGATCAAATAGAATCTGTGTAAGTGTTATCTTGATAAAAACTATAAATTTTTATTCTTTGAATGAGAATGATTATAATAAATTGCAAATATTTTTTATAATATAGATTGTGTAGTAAATGGCCAAATACATATATATTTACTAAGGCACTAGGAGAGAATGTAGTATTAAAATACAGTAGTGATCTTCCAGTTTGCATTGTACGACCTAGCATTGTTATAGCAACTTTCAAAGAACCAATTTCTGCATGGATAAATAATATGAATGGAGCTACAGGTGTAGTTCTGGGTTGTGGTACAGGTTTACTACGTTCATTCCATTGTAAAAAAGAAAATGTAGCAGATGTCATACCAGCAGATTATGTCATTTCCAACATTGTTTCTTCTGCTTGGGATGTTGCCAAGAGGTAAACTTTATAGTTTTTTGTTAATTTTATAGTTAAATTGAATTATAGTTTAATTAGAACATTAAACATTAGAATTGAGTAATGTCAAAAATAAAAAGAAAAGAACAAAAAAAGACAATTATCAGAAATCTGAATAAAACTGGGAAATATTTGAATTGATGAAAAAGTATATCTAAAAGACATAGAATATAAATTTTATACTAATATAGTAATTATTTTCTTTCATAGAAAAGCTGCAATAAAACCAGACCAAGTTTCTAATCTAACTAATGAAGAAAAAATACCTATTTATAATTCGGTATCTTCTTGTCAAAATCCAATTACTTGGGGTAAATTTGTGGAAAAGAATGTAAAGTATGGATTGGAAATACCTAGTATAAACTGTGTTTGGTATTATATGCTGATACTCAATAGATATTTATTTGTTCATAATGTCTGTGTTTTTTTGCTTCATAAAATACCAGCAGTTATTGTTGATACATTAGTTTATCTTGCTGGTCGGAAACCTACGTATGTATCTCATATCGAAGTTATATTGATAATTACATAAATTAATAATAATATCTCGTTAATATGTTTTTAGATTAGTAGGTATATACAACAAGGTACATAAATTTACTGGTGTGATACATTACTTTTCAACAGGCGAGTGGAATTTTAAAAATGACAACGTTATAAAACTTTGGAACAAAATGAATTCTGTTGATAAAGAAATTTTTTGTGTTAATGTACAAAATTTGGACTGGGATGAATATTTCTATCAATATGTAAGAGGTCTTCGTTTATATATATTAAAAGATCCTATGGACACACTACAAGCAAGTCAAAAGAGAATTAGAAAGTAAGCTTTCTTACTAAAATTTATCAAGATGAAACTTTTTATTACTATACATTATAACATACAATTTTTTATGTTACAGGCTACGTGTAGCGCATTACTTAATTGTACTAATAGTTATACTAATAACTTTATGGATAGCAATATCATTTATAAGTTTCCTTTGGTCATTTTGTCCTTTATCACGTTAATAATTATAATAGAAATATTATATTTTTTTTTATTTATAATTGAAAATAATCTTGCCTTATTATCGTGCATGCTCCAAACGGTTGTTCACAAATGACTTGTTTCGTTATAAGGACAATAGATGTCGCCACGAAGCTGTATTATTTTGATTAAAATAAAATATATTTTTTTTAAATATGTTAAATTTTCTAATCTGTAAATGAAAAAATATTTGGTTTCATATTTCGCAATATCCTTTTACTTATAGTTTATTATTATTATTGTTTATTATTATTACTGTTATTGACAGTTTTATATATTTATTTATTTTATAATTATCATAATTTATATAATCTTTACATAAGCATTTTATAGTACAATAGTGAATCAATTCTTGAATCAATTTTTAAACATCAATTGTTTATGTGTAAACACATTAATAAATAAACTAAAATTGTACATACAAAAGAATATAAATTATTAGAAACGTTAATATATTATATCATTTAAGATTTTATATGCCATGTCTGTAGTATATATTATTAAATATTTTAATTTGAAAAAACAATTGAAATCGTTATATTTAAATATTATATTTTAGGAAAGAAATTAAAAACTTGGTTTTATTTTGTAAATTTTGTTTTATTTATTAATTTGATCAAAATGAAATTTATGACCACGTTATTAAACATTCGCGCTATAGATACATTGTAATGTTATTATAGCATAAGAACACTATTGAAATTGTTGATTGTTTGACTTTTACTTTTGTCTAAAAGTACTAGTTATTTTACTTTTTTCACTATAAATATCATATTAACTACTTTTATAGCTTTTAATTATTTTTATAGCTTTTTAAAAATATAAATCTAAATAAAATAAACACAAAGTTCAATATGCATAAAAAAGAAATATATATTTACATTCTTTTTTTAAAATGAAAGAAAATTTTTACGACTGTGTATCAAAAAATTTATTGAACATGTCCATTAATTATTTGTCATATTATAATAAGCTGATTATGATATCAGTGATATCAAAAGTAATATAGAAACTTACAATCAAGACTACAATATTAATAATAGCCGATGAGGAAAAGAAACTGGTAAATCGTGCGCCATTATCGTACATCGGGCGTCGGAGTGTGGTGCGATACGGGGATGGAGGCCGCGCGAGCAGGCAAGCGGTTCGAGCGAACAGAGTCGAGGATCGAGAACCAACCGGTGACTCAGGAAGGCAGTGCACGCCCGACTGCCGACAGGAGCGGATGGCGTACGTTGCCGCTCGCGCCACGATAACCTCGTGATTTTCCTTTCTGTCATACACCGTCTCAGTCACCGTCGTCGATTTCTTGTGACGAGCCACAAAGTATTTCAAACCATCTACCGCGACTGCATAGAGTCGGTATCAGGTTCAATTGTGACGTTGCGTGCCGCGCTTCGATCTCGAGATAGAAAAATAAAAACGAACGAGCGAAAGACAACAGGAAAGGAAATAAAGAAACGGGAAAGGCGAGAGGTAGATTCTTTTTTCGTTTCGTTTTCTTATCGTCTCGGTTCGTCGATTCTCATCGTGATCGTCTGTAATCGACGGACATCGCATTCGCGCGCACATCTTTAAATACCACGTGTGTGCGCACGCACGCACCAACTTCAACGACGCACGTACTATACATTATCAGACCCGCGCGACTGGCGTACGGGGCGCCCTCCAAAAGTCGTGTGTGCGCGTGCAACCCTGCCGGAGCCCGCTGACGTTCGTTACCATAGTAGCGCGCGTGCCGATCAGCTGATCGTCGGGATCCGAGCGTGTTCGACCGTCGGCAGTCGGCCAACAGCGGCTCCGTCCACTCGTTTCGTGCGTTCGCGCAGTTCGCTTGCCTTTCGCGCCGTGATTTAGTGATCAACAAACCAACTGTTTCATTAACATCCCATTTCGTGGCAACGCACACAGTCGCAGGAAAATTCTCGAACGAACCAGACAAATAGATCGTTCTCACCGCTCGGATCATCTTAATCACCGTTATCGAAGTTGAAAGGATGCACTGTAACAGATACTCGTGCTATCAATGTAATTAGCCGAGTAGACGATCAGACATTCGAGTGAAGTATGATTTGAAATAGATAAAGTCGAACCAATTACGTTGCTCCAGTAATTCGTGGTGTGCTTGCGGCAAGGAAACGCCAATGCATTTTGGGATACACCGTCGCATATGATTATCGATACCTTGCCATGATTTACGTCACACGTTTCAAATTCTACCATCCAGGAACGAAATTCAACAGAAATATATCCAACGACAGTGATTTGGGGTACTAGTTATCATGATTTGTTCAATTGAGCGCTGTAAAGCATCTCGGTTGAAACGTCGTTTGGTTGTCGAACATTTTCGAATTACGTTCGAACAAAAGTTTATCGAACGTGAGAGTACATACCTAATAATCGAAACTATATTCGATAAATAACCGCAGTAAATACAGACACAAGCAATAGTGTGTCGTCAGGTGATTTTACGAACGTATCTGAACGTGACTTTGACAGCCAGTGTCATCAACAAAACGCTACAATACCATCAAAACAAATTCACAATGAAAAATGATATCTTTATCTAAGTAGATATCTTTCGAGCAATTACGTCGACTAATTTGCATATGGAATGAAATTCGATTGCTTGAACTAAGTCGACGGTGAATTGCAACACTCGCAAAAATGAAACGCAACTATTTTGAATCGATCGATGAGAAGCTAGTGTCGTAGTACATTTTGGGGAAAAATATCGATATATCGATAATGCTTGGTGTCAGGTGTCGCTAGACTGCAGTGAACGATGGCCGCGCAAACTTCGTACGTACGAAACGAAGAACGGAACGTATCGGAATTGAAAATAGCGGTCGTGGTGAATAATAATTTTTGCTAAAACAAGTTACGAACTCGTTTGCGATAATGGTATATCGCAGAATGTGAAAGTTTCTTCATAGGAGTCCAATTTTTGACAATCGTTTGTACCTGTGGCAGATCGCGTAACTGCATTGACCAGACTCTCAGTGAATATGTGAAGCAACTGAATTCTCTTTTTTTTTTTTTTATAAAACTTTCGTCAAAAGTGATCTTTCATTTTGTTTCGTGCCGTGCCTGTAACTGCATTCCTATGCATCAATCGCTACAATGACAGTTCGAGGTAATTTCTCGTTCACGTGAAAACTCTGTGATAGCCGATGCCAGCAACGCCATTATTGGGATTAAGTCAAGTGTGAAAAGAAATCCAGGAAATCGGTTCCTGAAATCATCTTGATAAAAAGCTTGGTAAGTAAGAAACATATTTGTATATCCATATATCCATCTGGATGAATTTCTTTTTCTTTAGTGTGTTTGATAACTGATGAAAATTTGACGAATGATATTAGCCAATCAAATTCAAATTTCGGAATAACGAATAACATTTCATGAGTACCAACTTAATATATTTACTTACGTCACGTCAGTTTTTCCCGCCATTTTTCTTTTTTCTTTTCCTTATGTATTCCGCGTAAATAGAAACGAATAAAATACGTAATTTTATAACTGAAGAAACGATTGCAGTTGAGCAAACAATTATTATAGCGTGTAACGTAATTATAATTTTTATGGCTGTAAGCAGAAGTAACGTCGAGCAGAATATAAACTCTAGTCAGTTGTCGAGTCGACGAACCTCTATCGATCTTTACCTCCTGTCTGCGTCTGTCCTCCCCCGCTCTGTCACACAGGAATGCAAGCTGTGTTGTATGTATTTCTGGCGTGGTTATTTCTTAAGTTTTTCGAGTTGTAATTGCCATCACAAAATGTCAGAATAAACCGGTTAATTGACACCATTGGCTCATTATCATAAATATTCATGTATCATATTGTGCGCATATACGTGCAATGAAAAATATTTCATGTTAAAAATATCTGTTTATAAATCTTAGAAGATATTCTGGCACTATACATCTTACATTATAGTTATTTTTTAAAACATTGATACTAAACGAGTATTTTTATGCAACTTTTTAACTAGATTTTTTTTACTTTTTTTATTTCAAATTAACTTGGAACTTGGAATATTTTCTTCGAAAGAAGAAAGTATATTACTATGGTAAATATTTATAAATGACATTGACGACAACTCGTTGCTAGTGATAAGCACATACTAATGATAAACACCGCCCGCATAATAGAGGTACTCGCTGATAAGCTCTTGGCAATACATAGACATTCGATAGTTACCGTTGTTTTCTGTGCACTTACTATTCATATTTCGTTTTTGCTATTGATTTTTGCTACTATTAGTTTTTATTCTTACCGTAAGAGAAGGAAAAAGGACACATTCGTTGAAGTTAATTTTTATTTAAACTTTTGATTCAATTTAATCTAATTTCAACTCAATTTACTATTTCCTATTGAATTTTCAATAGTAAAGAATTCACTTCTTGCGCAGAGTCTAGTCGCATTCATAAACGTTCGTAAATGTTAAAAACGGAAAGAATCTCGATCTTGTACCTGATCGTACAAAACTATATTTAAGTAGGTACTTGTTCTTGTAAAACCGTATTAGACGCATTCACCTTCGTGGCTACTGCCCAACTAAATTCTTACAAACTAGTTCTGAAATTTATGCGATGCTCAAGCGTGCACAACCTAAAGAGGACTCTGTTTTGTTACGCACTCCTCTTGGGACCTACCACTTCGAAGCGCAATAAACTGAGACTTTTAGCACCCACGATAAACGGAACTTTGATTCGATTATTCGTTTGACGAATGACCGACAGTCCTTCCAGTTTTCGTACTCTACAATCATTAATTTAAATAGATACATTTTGTTCACAAAATGAGCGAGATCGAATCAATATCGCTTTATTTTGATTACAAAATTATTAGTCGTTACAGAATCATGTTCTTAATTGGATACATTCCTCCGGCTGGATCGTGTAAGATTTAATTAAAATATTCCAATTAAATGTGAAAATAGTGTCGTAAAGTGTAAATTTCCGCGGCAAGGGTGTCGTTGTAACTGGAAATTAATGCTGTCGCAGCGGTGGTCCAAGATATGAGTTTGTGTAGATAGACGGTGCAATGTACCGAACATACAGACGGGAAACGGCCAGGCGCGTCTTAATTTGCGGTTGCACGTTCCTAATTTTCACTGACGGTTGTACACCCAACAAATAACGTTTTGTCACAGTCGTGCAGACATTAGAAGGAACATAGTGGTACGAAGTAAGAGGCAAAGAGACAGAGAGGACGGTTATTAGTCGCTGGCGGTTATTTCATTTGCGACTCATGATCCACGATACGAGTTCTTGTAATTGTCAGGTTTACGAGAGTCTCTTTCTACGGTGTTTTGCGACAAAGCTTCGTCCAAGCGTGTCTAGAAAGTTATGGCCGTTGAAAAAAGTACTGTTAATGGTATTCGACGCGCGAGAGCTACGCAAGGAATACGATTTATTGAAATAGTGTTTTGATTGGTTTGGGAAATTTTTAATTATTTGGTTATTCACGTGCATTTACATACAACAGTTTCTTGTTGAATCGGAACGTGATAAAACGTGTTTTACGGTTTCGAAAACGAAAAGCTCATGTTTCCTCTCTAGGTTTACAAAGATCTCGACAACACTCGAAAATCCTTACGTTTCGTGTACTTATATTTACCTACACGTAAGAGATGGTGAAGTAGCTTGCGGAATCTAAATGAATAAACAGTTGCGCGTCTGCAGGATAACTGTAATCGTATGTTTTTTAACTTTCGTTGGTGCGGTTGGTGCGGCGTCTTCGATATGTTACACGAAATTCCATTGAATGTCCATTTAATTGTTAGTTACAAAACACGAGAGGTTTCGAGTATTTAATTTGAAAGAAACGTTTGCGAGTGATTTATTTAATTGAGCAAGCAGCTCAACTGCTTTCATTTCTAAATGAAAGAATCAAATCGATTCCATGGTTCAACGAGTCCAATTTTTAGAACTAAACGATGAGACAGGAATAGACTAAAGGCCATATTTTCCAAACGATTTATATATATATATATATATATATATATATATATATATATATATATATATATATATATGTATACTTTGTTCCAAAAGCATGATATTTATTTAGTTAGCCACTTCCACTGTGCGCGATGGTAGACAAATATCTGTCTAACCGAGGTGTTGCACGATGTTTGAGTCGCAATGCGCTTTAAACCAATTTTTCTCTCGAACGGGTGAAGCGATGCCCGTGACTTTCCGACATTGATTTCGAACTCACCTAACTGTTCCTTCGACTAGCCACCTATCTTGTAGACTGTCAGATTGTTGACACAGCTAGTGACACGTTTAATAGGATTATTTATGCTCCTAAAGGCGCTTAAATGGTTCCACGTTCGTATCAGCTTCATCTACCTGACGGCGCGTAGCATAATTATGTCGACACGGTTTGCGTATCGGGGCTCAGTGAGCCAAGTGACAACGCCTAGTCGTCCCTGATTTTGATTTCGCTTCGACTTCCGATCTCGACGACGGGACATTTTAATCGCCTACGAACGCACGATCGTGGCAATGCGCGCCGCATAACTTATTCCGATGATTATTGATATGATTATCTCGCACCAGTGCGCACGAGCTAACGAATGGGCATTAATTGAAAAGAAACGTTAAATACGATGTTTCTCGCGTTCGAATAACAGTGTTCCCTCATCTACGGCGTTCCATTCGATGCGTGTTGCTTGCAGGTTTATCATTTGCTGGTTAATTGTGCGTTTGATTCGAACGTTGAAAACCACATTTATCACAAAACTTGGAAATCGTTCGTTTCGTCCATTGTCTGTTGCTCGCGTTGCATAAATTTTAATGGGTTCGTTATTTATGCGTGTTTTTCGTTAAAATTTTCTTTATGTGGCAGGATATATGTCTTAATGCATCGCAATAATGAATTAAAAGAGAGAGAGAGGGAGAGCGAGAGAGAGAGAGAGAGAGAGAGAGATAAAGCCACTCACACGTGAACCATTTTCTCTCCAATTAATTTCTGCACGAATATTTCTTCGTACGCGTGTATCTAAGTAATATAGATTCGTGTTCTTAATTGTTAATATCTAATTCATCTCGTATTGGAACACACAATCTATGTACGAACAAGTTGCATGGTTTGGGCGCGTGTCTATGCTCGCGCGCGATGCGTGTGTGAGTGGCAGGTAATTTGCGGTTTTGAGACGAGGCTGGATTCAGTCGGATAATGACCCGCTAGCACTCGTAACGTTAATTGCACTCGTTTCAGTTTTTCGCACAGGCCATCATTGTACTTCGGACTTCGGCTTGAATGCCTTTGGACGTTGAATACGAACGCGAAGCAACAACCGCCAGCGTACGATCATTTTCACGTTCATTTTAATGGCACATAAAAAATTTATGCACCCATTAATCCCCGGTTACTTTGGAATTAAGAACTAGTTGCATTTTAGGGCTACTTAAAATAGAAAACATTATACTCGCTGGCGTATAAAAGTGGACGCGAATAATTCTTTCGAAAGTTGCATTCTAATGCCTGTACGATAAAATTAATTTAAACGGCAGAATTAGGTAGCGATATTTTCAAAATCATTCGAGACTTAATATTTATACAAACTTTCAGGGCTGATTCGGCAAGCTGATTCGTTGAAACTTTTACGTCTGTTATATTAGCGAATTCTGTGCATAATCTAACGCGGTCTGCGTTTAGCAGCAGTTCTTTAATTGATTGGAAAATTGCTTGATTGATTTGGATACGTTTCCACCGTCTATTTAAGATATAAAACATCAAAGAAGTTTTATCGTATTTGTAGTAATTGTGAGAGTAATAGATAAAAATGTGAAAATACTGTATTTATGAGACTCTAAAAGAATTCAACGACACCGTGCAGTTGCCCGCGGTGCTGCGACGGTGTATCGACACGTTTGTTTCTTATTTGAACGATTAGGTGAAAACGAGTTGTGTCGTAGATTGAAAAATGGAGAACCGCTGCTGGCGATATAACACGATATAAGCATGGATCACAGGCGACAACCGCTCATTAGCATACAATACAGGCTAATGGGATCGCACGCTGACGGCTACCGTTCAATACCACGTCCCCACATAGCTGCAGTCACCTTTTCGAGGGGAAAGAGCGGCGTCGATGATATTAAAATTGTTGTACAGTTTCCGATTAATTTTTCTCCCCGTAGCTCTTTCGAGCTTCATGCTGCGTAGTCGCTTCTTTTACCACGATAATTATCAGGCTTGCGACGTGATTTATGACATGTATAATTGACGATTGAAAAAATATTCTA